TTATTATTCTTATTATTCTTATTATTCTTATTATTTTTATTTAGTTTTGCAAGGCTTAAAATAAGCTATAATTCTTTTATATAGATTAAGCTTTTATAAAGTAATAATACTACTTGGGTACTTATATATTATTCAATACTTGGCCACTATGTAGTTGTTCTTCAAAATTATGTTTCGAGACAGTTCCTTCTTTTTTATCTAATGGAGCTCTAAGCGGATATGTGGTAAGCAGAACTAACGTTGTGAACCAAGGGGTAGTGGCTACTACAACAAGGGGCATCAGTGAGAATCTGTGAAACCAAGCGTGTGTTCAATTTGATATCAAAACGACGAGGGTTGGGTCCTATGACACCTATTGTATTGAGTAAAATTCTTTCGCTCTTCTAATTCCTACTCTATTAAGGTCTGGTCTAATGTAGACTTAAGTTTGTTGAAAAACGACTGCAGCAAACGCTTCCGATAAAAACCCCGGTCAAGATAGAAAGAAAATAGCCAACATTCATAGTCATGACTGCGAGCATGCTTGACAAATATTAGTCACAGTCTTGACTCAGTGAACCAATGGTAGACTAAAATACTTACAGTAAATAGCTCACGCCCGCGATCAGAACATCTATCGCCCCCAACATCATAGCCTCATTCGATCTCCACGGCCGATCGCCACTCTCACTAACTCGGGACTCCACTAGCAAACCTTTGGTTCGCCTGCGTCTGAGACCATCCCTGACGTTATAAAAGTTGACGCGTAACGTAAGCAACATGCGCAGAATAGTAGCAAAGGCAATGAGGAAAATGCAAACACCTGCGTACTGCCCTGTTGTTTCGGGGGCGAAGGACTTTGTCCAGAGGAGTGTCTTGGTGGAAGTGAAGAAGGCCATGTTCATTTGTTCCATATCCATAGCCATAGTGCTGGAGCTGGAGCTGGAAGTTGACACGGGCATGGAACTACCCGTCGAAGTAGCCATGTCCATCATCATTGAACTTGAATCCATTTTTTGTAACGAGATAAGTAAATTGAATTGGCCTGATATGTCTCGATGAGGCGTCGTAAGCTTTAAGTATCAGCCAATCATAGTGATCAGTGGTGTAAAGTACACTACTTCATCTAAGCTTATATCACCGCGGTAGCGGATATAGTGGGTTCGGGAATAATCTTATTGCCGCCGATAAACTTGCTCAAGCCTGCTCAAACTTACTCAAGTGCCGATTTATGCGATGATAGCGTGGGAATATTTGATGTTTTATTGAGAGATGGCCCAATTAGAATTAATGCTTACGGAACTCGGCACAAGACCCTTGTTTATAATAAAACAGTAACTGGAGCAAGGGTATCACATATCTACATCGCGTTATATTCGTCAGCTGAGCCGTAAATGTCTTGGCCACATGCTGCCACTTAATCCTCTTTTATAAGCTTGCCCATATCGCCTTATAGTTATCCAATCAGTACATACTTGGCTTGTGGATGGCAGTCCGTATGAACTATCCTCTTGGAAAGACGTCAAAGGAATAGTCATTCGTCACAACATCCCTTTACCACATCGGTCGCTCGTCTTCGACTTACTTAGCAGAAGTCCTTTGGGATCACTCACTCATCTATGGAGTCAGCAGCTTGGCTCACGCCTCCAGTTCAGTTGACTGGGAGTCGTGCGTTCACCTGTGATGGCTTCACCGAAGCGCAATGCGCATGGTACATGAAGAGGTGGCATTTTTGGTACGCCCAGGCCCTTGAAACTGACTAGATACCTCATTGGAACACGTTATCTAACGTCAAGAAGGTACATAGCGGACCATGTCTACGCTCTGCCTACAGTAGCCTTCTTCATGTGTGGCATCGGACTCTTCACAATTGGCCACTTAATATCCGCTTACATTATTGGCCTTGCGTTTACGAGATTCCGTGGGCCTAAACTTTGGCGCATGTTGACTGCCATCATCAGATATCTTTCATATCGTGGTTTTCATATCGCATCACTTGGGTTCAGCTCGGCTCCTGTTGGTGTGCTGGTACTGGGATTGGCTGGAGCCGTCTTCTTTTTTTGTGAGTGAGCGAAAGAGCCATAAACTGAAGCAAAAGGTTAATGTGTGATAGGCATGGACTTGATCCCCCAGCCGTACTATTGGCCCTCGCTAGACTTTGGCGGCTCACCACCGTTGGGAACAAGATCAGGATGGCTAGCCTTGGGATGCATGCCATTTGTATTGTCAGTCCTACATTACCTACTCCCCCTTTGCATCCTTACTGACGAGTAGCAGTGCCACGGCAACCAAAACAAACTGGATAACCTTGCTGACAGACGTCTCACATGAGAGACTCCAAGTATTTCATCGCTGGATAGCCTATGCCTTTTTCATACTTGCTCTCATGCACACATTCCCGTTTATTGTGTATCATATCAGATTTCACGATATGCAGATGCACTTCAAGATGAGTCTCTTGTTCTACTGGACTGGTATCGTCGCCTTGATCTTCCAAGCGTGGCTCACCTTTGCGTCACACAGTGCCATTCGGTAGGTATGCCCTGATATCCGATCTCTAGCTACTGGCTGACATAGAAAGTAGTAAGCTATTGGGATATGAGTTCTTCAAGGCAACGCACTTCTTTGCTGTTGTCATATTCATGCTTACTTTCTTTTGGCACTGCGACTACACCCTAACATCCTGGTAAGCCTTTCATATCCATTCTTGTCTATCATTATCACTGACTCTTGATTACAGGCACTATTTCATAGGCACAGCTGCTGTATATGTTCCGTGCTACGTCTACCCATGGCTAAGAACCCTCTTCGAGTATGGAGTTCGAACAAAAGCTCATGTCAAAGTGGAGGACAACGGTTTCGTCCGTGTCACCATCCCCGCCAACTTCACATGGGAGATAGGACAGCACTGCTTCTTACGTTTCACTGGATTTGGACTTGCACAAGCCTTGTCAGCTCACCCGTTCACTATTTGCTCCCTGCCAGCACCATCCCCAGATGACCAGTCATTCCTTGTCTTTTATCTCAAGAAACACCAAGGCTTTACTTCAAAGCTCTATGAATACGCCTTGCAAAACCCGGGAGCTCAGGTCTCGGTGCTAGTCGATGGACCATACGGAGGCATCAATACACAGCGTTTCGTGAATAACAACCAACTCGTTGTCATCGCGGGAGGGTCAGGAGCTGGCTGGACGTTGCCATTCATCGAGCAGTATATTGCGACCCAGACAGGTCAGGACGATAAAGACTGCAAAGAAGGCCAAAGAGAGGGATCTCCGTTTTCATCACTTCGTGTGATACTAGCAAGTCGAGATGCCGAGAGCTGCAGCTGGTATCGACAAGTTGTGAGCGAGACGTTGCTCAAGTACTCAGACAAAATGATATCGGGGTTGCAAGTGCAGATCCATCGCACCAGCGGAGGCATAGCAGAATCAAGCCTCCCATCGAACAGTAGCTTCGTGCCTGGCAACAAAGAGTCGGGAAGTGAAAGAGCAACAGAAGGTCTGATATCATTTGACGAACTGCATGGCCGACCTGACTTGCCAGGGATTCTGAAAGAGCTGGCAAGCCGTATGACATCTGCTGACTCTCTTGGTGTATATGTCTGTGGTCCGGATACTATGCAGAATGACGTTCGAAATGCTGTGGCGTCTCTCAATTTGGATATTCTTGGGAGTGCAGATTCTGGGGGAGTGTACCTGCATTCTGAACACTTCTCCTGGGCATGAGCGTCAAGTAGGCCGCCGCATTTAATTGAAGAAAACGAGACTTGTTCAGCCAAAGCTGAAATTCACCCTATGACTAATCTGCCCTTTGGGTGCGATGAAGTGATTGGCAAACAACTTTCACGTGATGATTACTGCATGAATAAAGAATAATGAACACCCGATTGGACGTTTATCTGTAACTTATCTTTTACACAAATCTGCCTTCACAGTAATCGACCAAGCCAACACCTAAGATACTGGTGTTTTGCACATATCACTCTTCACTCACGCGACATAACCAAATGGCTAGCTTAACGGGCCCCATTGAATCTGCGGCATTTCCCCGTATCCCTCAAGAAATCATCGTCGCGATTGTCTCAGAGGTATTACTCCTCTGCGGCAATCCTAAAGACCTGCGCTTCAGGTACCTCTTATCGAACAGCCCTATGTATTCGCATGCTGATTATCTGCCAGCGAAACCTCTGACCAACTAAAAGCCTTGGGATTGACGCACCGAAAGTTTGCCGATTGTAGTTATGTGAACAAGTTGCTGTTCGCCAACATACAGCTCAAGCCAACACGCGAGCGTCTGCGAAACATTCAACGTGGCGACTTTTCACGGGTGGCCGGCTATACACAATCCATCACTTTTATCGCATATGCAAGCTGGAAGCTAGTGTCCGAAACATGGGAGCGGTTAATCCTTTTCAACACGCCGGACCACAACCCAGATAGTACTGTATCCCTGGCTCATGGAACGTACATAAACGACGCGAAAGAAGCACAGAGATTGCTTGAGGACCCAGATGGTGAGCTGATAGAGACGTGGACCAACGCCCTCCAGATGGTCGGGAGTCGTCTTGAAAAGGTCAGGTTGGCCCACAATATAGATTACAAGGGCCTCTACTTGCAAGATTCCGATGGGCCGATGGATTGGAAGAACCTTCGTTTGCATGTTCCCAATACAAGGATCGAGACGCATAAGGACTTGACGCCGAGATTCCTCCGCAATGAAGACGGCGTTGACAATGCCACTTATGCCCGAGACTATGCCTGTGCTATAGTAGCCGAGAGGCTCTTCAACACGGCCATAACATGTCTATCGGCTTCAGGCATCGCGATTTCAAGCCTCTCGATCGAGGTAGACATGCTGGGAAACGTGGAATGTAAAGAGATCCCAGGATGGCAACAACTCGATTTGAGCAACTTGAAGGAACTGAATCTTAGTACTCTATATCCACACATGCCGTGTGACTTATTCACAGAAACGGCCATGACTAGTTTTCTGTACAAACGAACGCAACATGTCCAGCGGAAGATTGGAGATTTAGCTCACGACCTGATCGACAAGTGTCATTCTACGCTAGAAACCTTTGGATTCTCTCGCGACAGTATGCCTGGTTATCGAGCGGTTTGGCCAACACGCGCTGCAACATACGACTTGCCAGGGCTCCAAGACCTGGAACTGGGGACACTGATTGACCCCCGACTTCTCCACGACTGGCTCCTTAGAATGAAGGATCTGCGCTCGTTGTGGGTATATAACGACCTTGCTCACCAACCCCTGGTGAATTGGCGGTATATGCTTGATGCGATTCGCGACCATCCGAACGTATCAGGTCCAGATCCAAAGGGCATCCAGTTTGATTTTCCCTTCGAAATCTATTACGAGGGGGTAATTTGTAAAGATAGCAGTATTGCAACGCCGAGGAAGAGGCCTGGATCTAGATATCATGCACTGGAAGCCCATTTGTATGGCAAGATAGAATTTAGTGACAATCAGGCCTTGATTGACAGGTTAGAGGGCAATCACTCTGAAATGGAGTGGGAAAGTGAGTGAGAGGAGGAGGAAGAACAGAGCGACAGGGAACAAGAATAAATGGTATTGTATTTGAGCCGAGGAAAAATGTGACTACAAATGCATAAAAGGTCTATACTGAGCTTTTAGAAATATTTGGGTCATTTAGTAAAGACCTCGCAATCTTCTTTGACCCCCCCTTGAGCAAAGTGTCCTGAGTGAGTGTTCAAGATCAGAACCCACCACCATCGGGCATGTCTGGCGGTCCGCTTTAAGCTCGAGATATCGCATATATAAAGACAAAATATGCTCTTCTTGTGCAATATCATCCATGTATTGGATGTTCAGAAGCCGAAGACAACCCTGCGAGCAAAGATAAGCTGTGAATTGGAGTCGGTCGCGTCGGCCCCTATGCAGGAATTCCCGTCGCTGGATGCACCAATCTGAATCAAACCGGTAGAGATAGTGGGAGACAGAGATGCGGCTCTCAACCCGACTCAAGAGATTCTCATATTCGCGGAATAGGAATACAAAGAATGTCTGAAAGGTCCAGACGCAAAGAAGCTCATCTTGATAGATGAAGTTCCAGGGAATATGAAAGTCATATCTATCGTCGTCAGTACCATAATCCTGCAACAGGTTGGTGCTGAAAGAGAGGGTGTGTCGGTATGCTTCGAATAATAGATATGCCTTTTGGAACTGTCCACTGTCGAGGTTCAACAACCGAAATTGCTTGCGACGCGTTGCAGAACTTACAAAGTGCATTTCGCTTGCCCTTATGTGATAATAATCCCGAAACTTTCGTGATTCGCGAATCGGTTGATATAAACCTCTAAGGGCTCCTAAATTTAACTTCATTTCTCGAAATCGTTCTGGTGGTGATGTTAGGACTGGTTTCATAACCTGCACAGCTTGAGGCCGTGTTTCGCACTGCGAGACGTGCTCATTTTTCCGTAGCCGATATATCATGGTCGCCTGTACGAGGCTTTGGCCACAAGACTCATGGTAAAGATTCCGCCGAAGGGACGGGACGATAGTCTTCTTGTGTTGGAGGAAAACGCACAAAGCGTGAGGATCGGCACGAATTAAGGAATGGACATCCTCAGGGGAGGTAAAGGTAGCGAGGATAGTAATCATAAGTTCTGCTGGAAGTTGATTGAAAAGGTTGCTGGCCGCCATGATGCTAGTCAGGATCTGATGAGGTTTGTCAAAGAGAATTGCAGTGCGACTGATGGTGGAGGCCTGGGATATTTATACTAAAGGGTTAAGTTTAAATTGTATAAGGTTTAATATTATGAAAGCCTGCGGGGTAGAAAATTATATTTTTGCTCTGTCCTGTGTCACTTGCCTGAAGTATATTCTAAAAGCTGGAGAGTGTTTCTTGGATAGTAAGGTTTACGCCCAAATGTCAGTTGCCTTCCAGGCCGTTCTAAGGCTGCATGCCACAAGCATAACGTTTCTTCATTGTGCTTTTGCCAAGGACAACAATCAAGGAATAAACCTTGGCCAGTCAAACAAAGCTTTTTTAAATCATCAGTCTGTCAATCGGTTTGTTTATATTCCCTGGCGAAGAAAAGAACTTTATTAGGTGTTAATTTGAAGCACTTGCTCCAGATACTCTATTGTATTACTGGCAGAGGGCATGAGTTTTGGACAAGCGGGGCATATATGTGAGAAGTGGAGAGGTTGTCACGGCTTGGAGGAGGATTGGTATGGCTTGCCAATGAAGTTAGGATATTGGTATCTAAACTGTCAGGTCTCTTGCTTATGTGGATGCGGTAGCTTAATAAATTATCTATGTATACAAGTTATATCGACAATGTTCAACACGACAGCTAGCAAACGTCTCGTCTTACTCCAGGGAATAGGCTCAGTCGTCTTGCAACTCGCTTTGACCTCACTACCTAAGATGCACTACCAGTACAGCGTCCGAGATTAGACCAAAAGAAAGGACCAAGGATGCCCATGCCAGGGGGCACAATTTGCAACCTATCAGCGTGTTCTTAGCGTCATTAGAGTTTGCAGGTTCCCGCAATCTGCAACGCACAGTGCAAGCAAAATCTTGGCCGCTAACGAAACCTGGGGTAGTGTGACTAGTTAGTTGATTGCGGGGAACCAGGTGCCATGAGCGGGAGAGGGGGGCAGTACAATGGCGGCAGAATGGATGCCACCCAGTTCTTTTCTTCTGTTTATCCTTCCTGTCATCGATCCCTTACACTTCCAATTATTATTGCTCCAGTACCCACGACAAAGACAGTATGACTACACTCACCACTTCATCACTTGATGCTCCCAGCACGAGTCTCAGTGGGCCGAGAACAAGACGCCAAAATCACGCATGCGACCAATGCAGACGGTCAAAACGAGCATGTGACGCCTTATTACTGCCTATGGAGCTGAGGGAGTATACAGGCAACGCAGGCAGTCAGAGCAGCCATCGGCCTTGTTCTTATTGTACAAAGACGAAGAAAACGTGCACAATGATGAAAGCAAACATGCGTGCACGTTCTGCTTGGATTTTCCAATCACGGAAAGACAGCGTTGGAAGTTTTGTACGGCAACAAGATGTCTCACCGTCCACAGTGGCTGAGCTACATCAATCGACAAATTCTGACGGTTGGAATGTTGGTATGCCCTCAATGCAGGCTTCAAAACACTGGCTGGATTATAGTGAGGCATTCAACTCCCTGTCGCCTAGAGACATTGAAACAACGGCGTTTTGCAATTGGGATAACATGTCGTGGTCAGATACAACGCAGGCTTCACGACTCAGTCATGTTGCCGCTCCAGATGACTTCGGCTGGCTACACTCTACCGAGAGCCTTGATCCGCTACCGTCCGATGTCGATGAGAATAATGGCAAGCTTCAAGTTGGTCAACACCTACTAGCCAACCCCGCTTCTCAAATCTCGGCACAAAGCCATTTCACTCAACAACAAAGTGCCTCTTACCAGTGCGAACTCTCCGGTTTTGACGGCACAGTTTCAAATTTCTTAGCCGAAGTCGAGTTCAGGGAGGAGGGCCGAAGTACGGGCTCCAGGTCCAGAGCAGTCAGCCATCTCGACGGTATCACCCGCACCACAAGCCCAAATTACTCGATATCACCCTGGAGCCTCACACAGGGCGCACTATCCCCCTTTTCGATTGATCAGAGCCTCTCAAATTCATTTCATAGGCACTTAACCTCCTCAAACTTGGTCAAGATCTACCATGATGTGCTTGAGCACCACCTTTCGTGCTGGCTGGTCGAGATGACTTGTCCGTATCGACAGAGCCTCGACTCAGCGAGCGTTGCTGCGCTTGCGCCAGAGTGGAAGACATCGTGGACAAATAGAATTCTACAGCGTACCGTCAGACTCGATAACATCGCAAACTCGTACAAAGTGCTGGACATGACACCTTCTGAGCAGAAAGCAGCTTCAAACGCCCTGAAGCTTGCGGTGCTAGCATTTGCTACACAATGGGCCCAGGGTAGCGCAAGAGCTAGGAGGAGACACTCAGATTCATCCCAGAGAGGTGCCTTGGGCAGTTCGGAAGACGAGTTTGATCGGACACTGCAACGATATTTCTGGACTAACGCTCATCGTGCATTACAAGATGTTACAGAACTTGACTCGTACCAGGTTGCGTGCGCAGAAATTATCTTTAGCATGGCGCAGAGGCCTTGGGAAAATGCACAACAGGCTGAACCCGAGACAGAAACACAGTCTTGGCCATCCATCCGATCTCAAGTTCAGCATATAATTCACAGGGATGGCCCGCCCACTTACGCAGAGCGGGCAGCTAGGAGGATGCATGCTTTGAAGGCTAAGTGTGACTCGATAAATAAAGGCTTCCGATCCAAGGATAAGCAATTGAATCACGGCATTACAGCCATGGCTCGCGAGGACAGAGATACAATAGGCCTGCTCTACTGGCTCGCCATCATGTTTGACACAGTTGCTGCGGCAATGTACGAACGGCCCATTGTCGTAGTTGATGAGGAGTGTCGATATGATGTTCAAAGGGGTGTTGAGTCATGCAATGGTGCCACAGGTTCCTACAGATGGAACTATGAAGTCTTCCTGCGGACAGACAGCGAAATCTGCCACAGGACCCAATGGCCATGCTCATACGAGGAGGCCGCCAAAGACATCATGACATCAGGTCCCGTCAAAGTTCTCCTGTTTCGACATGTGTCATATCTACAAAGCGCCTTACGGCAGTCAGCCCCAGGCCGTCAATTGGAGGACATGATCTTTAACGCAGCCCTGATCTATGATTACTGGAACAGGAGACATGGAGTGTTCTTCAAGGAAATGGTTCAGGACTTCCCAAACGTGCCTCAGCGCATCCGGGGTTGGTTTATTTGCATATCCGCACATTGGCACTTAGCTGTCTTAATGCTTGCAGATGTCATCGAATTCATTGATGACAACGATTTGGGCTTGGAAGATGCAAAGAACAAGCGTCTGGCTGCGGGAATGGTGGCTCGAATGAGGGAGAACAGCACTTTGGAGCTTGCTGGGCTGGGGAATGTGGCCACAATCCCCAGCTACGTTGACGCACCACCTGAGTCGCCCGAGTTTCACCCTGCATTGAACGATGGCACTATTCTCACTGAGCCATGGACAATGATCCTCATTAGAGCCTTCTCAAAGGCTAGTATCCTGTCCCTAGAGGAGGCTGAGAACATGCGAGATGCTAGAGGCACGTCCACGTTCGTCGTTGGGTTCAAAAACAAACTGCAGGAGGCTGAAAGCTGCATCAAGGCATTATGTTTGTTGGGGAAGAAGTCCGATATGGCTGGAGACCTTGCTGAGGCGCTGCAGCATGCCATGATCAATGTGCGTACCGGGTTTATTAGACATATGATGTAATTAGGAGAAGAGAGTTTCAACACGGTAGTCTCGATTGATACGTATTGCTAGAGCCTCTAGACCGCAGACGTATGACTTAAGCCAGTGCTTGATAAATCGTGGCTTCAACAGCGCCCCAAAGTCCCAATACCTTCATGTCGCCAAAAGGTAGAATCTGTGAGCAAACCATGCCAGCGACGCCTTTCTCACGATCAGCCCACCACCAGAGATTCGGCAAACCAGCCCAATGAACCGTTCCCTTTGATCTTCCTGTCGGCCCGCCGTTGCTAAGCATGAAAGTAAGTCCCCATCCTTGAGGCGGGTCGCCAGCGACAGGATAGAGCTCAGGAACACTGTGAGTAAATTCGGGCCTCGCAGCTTGAATTCCCTGACGGCTGAAATTTGGAAACTGAGGAATTTGGTTTCTAAACATTTCATCCACTGTCTGCTTCTCCAGAAGTTTGACACCTGTCTTGGGACAAGTACCGTCGTTGAGCAGGACAGCAAGGACTTCTTTATACAAGGCATTAGCATCACTCGGTCTTGACGCATAGATTCTCATCAACTTACTGCAGTAGTCTCGAGGATTGCCAAACATGCCGCCACCACCACTGTTGAAGATCTTTTCAATTTCGACCTTGTCATCGGGGTCCACCACCAGAGGCCGTCGCAACGGATGATTGCAGGGTCTCAAAGTTCCGTCTGGCCCCCGCTGATGCATGTATGCTAGTTTAGCTCGCATCTCGTGAGTGGGAAACATGGACATTTCCGTGATCCCGATGGGCCTAAACACCCTCTCTTGAAGATAGTCATTAAGCCTCAGACCTGTCGCTCGTTCAAGAACGACACCAGCCCAATCGATTCCAGGCTGGGCTCGGTTAGCTTCGGACATCTGAAATGGTAGTCAGGCAGCTGCTTACTCCATACTCCCAGCCTTGGCCTGGTTGGAATAAGAGAGGCATTATCATATCCTCGATCCTCCCGCTGAACTCATCTGCGCCGGCAGGGTAAGCCCAGTCCCTAAGCCTTTCATTGAAGAAAGAGTAACCGAGCCCAGAGGTATGTGTCAATAGCATCCGCAGCGTAATGGCCTTGTCTTTCTTTACCATGATACCATCCGGCTGTAAAACCTTTATGTCCTTCAATTCAGGGCATAACTGCTCCACCTGACTGCCGTCGTCGAGGTTGAGTGTTCCCTTCTCAACTAGCTGCATGCAGGCCAACCCAACGAGCATTTTGGTACAGGAGGCAATCCAGAATATGTTATCTAGAGACATGTTCTCTCGTGACGTTAAGCCTCTTTTCCCAGCGGCATGAGCAAATAGTTCTTGCCCATCTTTGCCAATCACGACAACCGATGCTCCGGGGATGTCCTGTTGAGGGTTCTCGCAAGATTGTTCCACGATGCCACGAAGACGAGACAGCGTTTCCTCGTTCAAATGCATTATGTTGATGTAAATGGGAGACTTTGTAGGTTCGATATTAACAACTCTGGCTATTGTGCTACGGAGAAACAATGCTTCGGGTCACGCTGAGGTGGATCTATATATCCTCGCCCATCTCAACTACCTTTGCACGCTAATGAGATCAGCGGAATGTAATGCGGAGTGGAGCTTTCGCAGGAGTCAGATATTTTCGGTGCACGCAGCCAAAGCCATGATTCTTGATGTGTGCACCGGTAGTTGCTCAGAAAATGCCTCACCTGCGGCTTACGAGCCGAAATGGGGACAGCTTACGACTTGGTTTGCTATGATCTACCAATAATACTTGGCATTCTGCCTGTCTCGATGCCTATGAAGTGACTAAATTAGCTTGCGGAGTACTAGCGTGCGGTTGTTTTAGCTTGCGGGGTTGTAGATAGTAGTAGAGGATTGCTAAGTGTTCTGGTGTTCAGGGAGTACCATCCTAAATAATACAGGCTATACCTTTTGTAGCTATCAGGCAGTGAATTGTTCTGCCAGAGTAACGATATGAATTAAGCCAGGAGGAATCACAAGGTATGCCTTCTCGCAGGATTGAGTGTTGGTATTTAGTTAAATAAGCTAGTTTCGTATTCTAACTCGTGGTATAATGTCGAAGTGGTTAGCCAGATGTGTTATGGGTAGTTGGGACTTGCTACTGGGAGCTAAAATCAGCACAGAAAACCTTGGTTAGTTAGTATTCTCACTTAGAACATACTAGTTCGCGAACAAGCATCGATGATAACCCGCGGTTAATGCTGGTAACCCGAGGTTAATGATAGCAAAGCCGAGACATATCAACCGTATTTCATGCAGTCTTGAGTCCACCCTTAGCCTCAATCCATCATGAATGTTCCTTATATAAGTCTATTTTAAAAATCCATCTGTACTATACCATCAGTCGCGCGACTTGAACAATACGGAGCCAACTAAATGTAATGAGTTACTATATATAATTTGTGAGCTAGATGTGTTGTCTACAGTTGAGACCTGTGACTGAGAGCTGATATCCCTTACCATGCAACACCTATACTGGAGGAGTCAATGAATATAATTCTAAACGGTCATAAAGAGCTTTATCTCTATGCTGGGATGTCTCTTGCTCGGCGGAAAGCACTGAAGAATGGTTCGCCATTTCTAGCCCTTGCTTAACGCAGCAGAAATGATGGTTTAACCAATCTTCATTAATCTTCAAGTAGCATATAGCTGGTATCGAGAAATTAATCCATATAATAAAGAATCTCTTTAATAGTATCTTTTATAAGTACTAACAATATTAATAGGAACAAAGGATAAATCCCTCGTACAAATAAACTTCATCAAATCTGGATAACTTCAAAACCTTCCGTCCAATTATCCAACGCAGCTCGGATCTCATTCTTGTAAGTCGGGATACCGGCAGCATAGGCCAGAGGTTCAAACGCCTTGCCAGGGACATTGCCCCCCATATACGTGGACTTGGTGGTAGGAAACAAGGTTGCGTTATTCAGGTCCACAACATGCTGCTTCCACTTGTCGGCGGCTTCAGTCGTTGGATTGATGTATTTGATGCCTCGGCGCTCCATCTTCATAATGGCATCAGTGACCCATCGGCCTTGGATCTCCACTGTCGTCGGGCCGTTGCTCAGGAGGGTCGGGGCCTGGGCACCGTACATGGAGAACATGTTCGGGTAACCAGGCACGGTCGTGCCGAGATAAGTCTTGGCCCCAGGGAGCCAGTCTTTCTCGAGGTCAGTTCCATTGATGCTGTGAAGGCCTAGCTGGGTCATGGAGCCGGTAGATACGTCCTGCAAATGTTAGGTCCTAGTTCATAAACTGAAGCGAAAGAACTTACGAAGCCAGTAGCGACGGCGATGACGTCCAATTCGTGATGAGTCCCGTCTTCGAGGGTGATACCTGTCTCGGTGAACTCGCGGACCGGGTTGTTCTTGGTATCCAAGACGTGTACTGAATCTCTGTTGAACTGTTCGTAATATGTCTCTTCCAGACAAGGGCGCTTTACGCCAAAGTAGTGTGGCATTTCAAGTGGTGCCAGTAAATCCCTAGTCTTCTCAGAGTTGATACGAGCCCTTGTCTTCTTGGCCCAGAAGCGATAGGCCTCCTCATTAGCCTTTGGGTCAAGAAGAGTATCCTTATAGTTAGCAACCCAGAACCGGAAGCCACCATCTTGCCAGAGTTTCTCGTAAAAAACTTCACGCTCCTCTGGTGTGTCATCAAAGGTACTGCGCTCACACCAGTCATAGGTAAAACCTGCAAAGCTTGTCTCACGGAGCTTGAATAGTTCGGGATAAAGCTTCTTATCTTGGCCTTCAGCAGGGAGGGCCTTTCTCCGCATGGGAACAGCAAGGTTAGGGGTCCTTTGAAAGACTTTGACCTCAGCGGCTTTTGGGCCCCAGGCTTGGGTGATTTGCACACCAGACGCTCCAGTGCCGATGATACCGCAACGTTTTCCTTTAACGTCAATCTCCTTGTCAGGCCAGAATGACGAATGGTGAATGATGCCCTTGAACTTATCCACTCCTGGCCAACTGGGGACAAACCTTTTGGAAAACTATATGAAGCAGTGCATCGTTAGTAAAGCAATAGCGCAGCGAGGAAGGTCATCTAAAAGTCATAGACTCACAACACCAGTACCCAGCACGAGATATTTCGTCTTTGTCGTTCGACCATCTGCAGTCTCAACTGACCACTTCCCTTCACCTGTCGAAAAATATGCCCCGACGACCCTAGTATTGAAAGAGCAATCTTTCTTGATCTTCATGATCTTATCTACGTGATCAAAGTAGTTGCGAAGATCTTGGAAGTTTGGGTAGTTGGTGCGCCAAGACCAAGTGTTATATACTTCAGGCCAGGAATACTCATACTCGGGAACTTCAGAGTCGACTGCAGCGCCAGGATAGCAGTTCCATCGCCAAGTGCCGCCAAGATCGTTTCCAGCTTCGAAGATGACCGTCTTCAGACCGCGTTCACGAAGTGTTTTGAGCATGTACACTCCCGCTGCAATATTATTAGATTGCTATATGCCATACGTGTTGAACAGCGGCAAGCTTACCGAAACCAGCACCGATGACGAGAACATCAAGCTCTTGGTTGTCGGCGTACAGGCCGGTCTTGGAGGCATGACTCTCTGAATGGTCAGCAAGGTCAGTGCTGAACTTGCTGTTCTTGACTTGTCTGTTGCTAAGGGCAGCCATTTTGGAGCTGAAGTAGAGGATCAATTTAATACAAAGAATGATTGGTATTATTGAGGTGCTCTAGGACTAAGTGAAATTGACGGGTTGGAGTGACTACCCTTATATCAACGTCTTCAACTCGGAAGCACACAATCCAGACATGGTACGACCCATTGTACATGTAACATGGGTCGTGCTACTCTCTCAACACAACGAGTTCGTGTTACACATAACTTCCGCACTGCGGCAGGTTTAGCAGTGCCCACCTCCGCAGTCCGCACTCCGGGTATCTACCGCAGCGACCTGCATCCATTCCTTGGTGAATCCGGGATACACGAAAGACACCGAGAGTTGCCGAGGAAGCCCAAGCGTTCCAGCAAAATTGGAGCTAAAGGACGCTATCCCATTAGTACCTCATGGGGCAGAGGCACTTGACCTAGCTGCAAGCGGTGCCGCCAAGGAGAGCCCGCTCGCTGCGGCAGCGTACAGTGCGAATACTTTCCTTTGTTTATACGTCATGTGCGTGTCGTGGGTACCTCCATCAACGTTAGTGCTTTCTAGCTGTAGCCAATAGCCACCAGTCAAGGAAATTCGTCTCAGCTTGGATTATGTGAAAGAATGCAGTACGACCTTCTTGTTACCAGTATTGGGTACATGAGCTGCAATTTTGTATCTGATATTCCTCCAATACTAGCACCTGTATTTGTTATTTGCCGATACTTGTCAGCAACTGCCTCTCCGATTATTAAAGGATGCACTGGCCCTGCCAAATATCTCAGCTTATTTGACGTACGATTTACATATACTCATACCCCATCTTCCAAATTGCCATTTCCTCCCTTGAAAAATGAAGGCCTTCCAATACTCCAGCGTTGAGTCGGGCTTGGAACTCATCGACGCTCCCATTCCTGAGCCCGGACCTGAGCATGTACAGATTCAGGTCAAGGCCGCGGGCATGTGCCACTCAGACTGCCATCTTCTCAAAGGTTATTACGATGGCTGGATAAAGAAACCTCTCATATGCGGGCATGAAGTTGCGGGTATAGTCACCAAAGTCGGCTCATCCGTCAAAGACTATCACCCGGGTGATCGGGTTGCTTGTCTCATTATCTGTCAACCTGTAGAGGAGCACGACTGGGCCTTTGCTGTTGGACTTGGATTTGACGGAGGATACGCCGAATATGTTGCAGCACCTGTCAACCGGCTTATCAAAATCCCCGACAATGTTTCTTTTGCCCAGGCCGCAGTGGCTATGGACGCACTGGCCACATCTTACTTTGCTGTCATGTCCAAGGCCGGAGCAAAGCCCGGGGTTACCATGGGAGTGATCGGCCTAGGGGGCCTTGGAATGGCAGGCCTCCAATTTTCTATCATAGCTGGGGCGAAAGTTTATGGATTCGACTTACAAAAGCATAAGCTTGAGGAAGGCCTGAAGCTAGGGGCGGCTGGCTGCTTTGAATCCCTCGAGGAGCTAAAGGACGTCACGTTGGACGTAATTGTCGATTTTGCATGTGCCGGTGGCACCACAGCTTCTTCTGTAACGGCGGTAAAGCCAGGTGGGACAGTAGTAGTGGTTGGATTGGGCAACGAGATCATGACCCTGCCAACCCAGGATGTGGTGTTGAAGTCAGTGACAGTGGCAGGAACACTAGGATCTGACTTGGCTGCAACCAAGGGAGTCTTGCGATTGTTAGAGGAGAAACGCATTGATCCAATTCTGAAAGAAATTCCCTTCCTGGATATCCCCAATGGCCTGGAAGAGATAGAAAAAGAAGAGGTAGTAGGAAGACTATGGGTGGACCCAAGTAAATAGGAAGTATTAATGGTATATTCCTTTTTCTATCTTTGTGACGATGAGTCTTCGTCCCTAGGGATTAAAATGATACTTCGCTCTGATTTAGATAATTTTACCGGGCGTTGTCATATGGCCGGCCTGATTACTGATATGCTTAGTGAGAGTCCCGGTCCTAGTCAGATTTTAGGTCACGTCAGCCGTCAGGTTCTTCTTGCATTGTTAATATTTCTGACCGACAGCCATTTCTAATGCACGGGCGCCTGGGCGGAAATGAAATAGCAACGGGTTCATTTGTAGAACAAGCCGGTGCAGGATTTACAAAGAAGTAAGACAACGGATATGTTTAAAAGGCTTCAGGTATCTCCTCCTTACAAGCAATAATTTGTTCATACTTTCAATAATACCAAAAATCTCCTCTTACGATATGTCTACTCAAGAGACTGCAAAGACATTGTTTCTCAGTGCTGATGGGATCGACTTTGCCTATCGTCTCATCGGCAAGTCGAATAGTTCTCACCCTCCACTTCTCATGCTCAATCATGTCCGATCTACCATCGATACCTGGGATCCTGAGCTGATAAACAATCTCACTGCATCAGGTCGCCAGCTTATCGCGTATGACTACGCTGGCCTTGGTCATAGCAAGGGACCCGTCGCGACAAGCATCAAGGGCTTTGCCATCAATCTCCTCGCCTTTCTCAACGTTCTGCTCTTGAAGCTTAATGTCAAGGAAGTTGACGTCTTGGGCTTCTCTATGGGAGGGTATATCGCGCAACAACTTGTGCTCGATTCTCCCGATACCGTTCGCAAATTGATCCTTGCAGGCACAGGCCCCAGTCTTGGAGCTGGTTTGGTGCGTCCTATGAATGAGATCCAATCTATTGTCTTCAGCCCTACTCCCGGACCACCTACCATCGGTGCTTTCTTTCCTCCCACTACAGGAGACGAAGGTGCTGCGTGGCTCAACAGAAGCACTTCGTCACGAGCTGGCGTCGCTGGCAAGAATGGCGAGCCCGAGATCGCACTATTCACCACGGGAAAGCCTCTCCTCAATCTGACTCAAGCGTACCTTACATGGGATGCAGATCCGCTTCCGTATGCTCTTTTACAGGCCATTCAGAAGGATGCGCTTGTGACTTGTGGTGATAATGATCTCATTGTCCCGACGCAGAATTCTTTCGTTCTTGCAAGACAGCTCTCTAGAGCCAACTTTGTCATGCTTCCGGGTAGTGGTCATGGGCACTTGTTTCAGTACGCAGGGTATTATGCAGGACTTGTTGGAAAGTTTTTGGACGGTGATCTTCCGTCTCCTCTGTTCTCAGCTGGAGAAGTCCCTGGGTTGGAATAGTGGAATGATGGTCTTGAAGCTTGTTACCAAGAGAAGGGGCCGCACTGTTAATAAGGGGCAGTGTCCATTTCCTCAATCAGAAGAATATTCCATTCAAAAACTATAAATTCCATTGGTGTTTTTTATATAGTAGTAAATTGTCTACTTTCTCACGGACAAGGGTTTACCCCAGAATAAAGGCGCTTCGTTTTCCCCATCCCTTCAGCAATTGATCTCGCCATCGCCATTGCCATCCCAGCATCACACAACACCAGTGCCACCTTGGCAGTAGCTCGATTCTGACTCCACCCTGCACTGTAATGAACAAGTTTCGCGACGGTGATCAGCCATTCCTCGAGAGCTAGATAAAGCGAGTACTCGTTATAGTGCATGTACACTTCCCACTGCTCATAATAAAGCAGGAGTACCTGGACACACCCAGAGATGACACCAAGACAGTGGCCGAGCTTCTTGTGGATAAACGAGCCGAGAATTGGAATACCACTGGCGATCCAGAGAGCGAATTTGGGAAGGAAGCCGGGTGTGTCTGTATCTGCTGATAAGATGTTTTTGTTTTGAAATGTCACGAAGCGATCTACGGAACAGATCCATCTGAGCAGTGACGCTAAGGATGACAAGAAGTTACGGCTTGAACGGCTTGACACTGGATCTAACAGGGTCGGCCATATAATGAATGTGTAGTCGAGAATTGAAGTGGAGGGCAGTTCTGATTGCAACAGACGTATGATGGGGTGAGCTGTCTCGCGGTATTCCCTGTAGCCCTTCTCCATCTGGTTTTTTCGTCTGTCTTCCTCGTCGCTCTCGTGATCTGACGGTGCGATCGAAAAGGTTTGGGCTTGTAGCGCTCCAACAACAGGACCCAAGTCGGAGTTCCTATTGACGAGCTTCTCAGCGGAGCTTGTGTCGTTGTCCTGGTTGATAGGAATGGCCACGGCTCTCTTGGTAATGACAGGCGCATATGAAGCCTCGATAGAATCACTGATGAGACCAGCCATCCGTGCACGAAGTTTCCCACGCAGAGCATTAGGCTTGGTAAGCCATTCCGCGCCCTCCATCTTAGATGGACTCTCCCCATTCACAACCTTGAACACAATAGTAGCTGGGATTGCGATGACCAGGCTGATCGCATCGAGAAGTGTAAGCTCAGCCCCTCCACTGACTTTCCTGTACAAAGCGCTCAGAACTGGGATCTTGATGGTCTCATTGATCTTGTCAGCAATCAACACGAGCAAGTCGCTGACGTTCCCCAGAAATGCCATCAGCATGCTCTCCACCACATCAAGGATATCCTCTAGAAGTTCAAAGCCTAGCTTCGTCAAAAGAGTGCCGATGGATACTTCGCCATGAAGGTCGATGAGATCCTTGATGTTGTCCCATAGCCGAGAAGCGAGCTGTCCTGCTTCTTCCATGACATCGCTGAGCCTGTCAAGAATACGATCGAAAGGCGTGCTCTTCTTTGCTTCGTTGCCTCGACTGTGCTTTAAATGATAGGAGCCATACTGCGCTTGTGGCGTTTTGGTATCCTTGTCCGCCTTGTTGATCTCGTCCTTGGCACCATCCTTTTCCCTTGCTTTCTTCCGCATCTCCTCATTCTTACCAGCTTTGAGATCGTTGAAGCCAGGGGGTAGCTTGCTGTCCTTGAGCTCTTTGATCTTGGCCCGCATCTTGTCGAAGAAAGCATGAGCCTTGATCTCAATGTAGGGTGTACCATCTGCCAGAAGCAGTATACCCTGAGTCGTCATGTTGGCGATCATGTTCTTGGTCTTGACGATATCGCCCCAGTTAAAGATGAACCCAAGCTTTTCCTTGATATATTCCCAACCTTTCACAACGGTGTCCAGGACGGTTTGCATAGCTGCTGCGACCTGAGATGCGGTTTCGAGGACAAAGTTCCATACCTTATCCTTCACCTCGACGACAAAGTTCCAGGCTTCTTTGACTTTCTTTACAGCAATGTCGACTACCTCCATCACCTTGTTGACGCCGCTTTCCACGACTTCTTTGATCTTATCACTGATGCTCTTGATAGCTCCCCAAGCACGATGCGCGATAGTTTGAAAGCCTTGCCTCATCAAAGTGAAGATGCCGTTTGCCTCATCATCAGCCATCTCGCTTTTCACCTTGTGTAAATGTAAAAGCGTCTTTGCAGCCTCTTCAAGTTCTTTCTCAGAAAGGCCTTCTCGCACAAAGCTGGATCCATCAGGGAGCTTCATGTTCCTGAGGTCCTGAGCCGATGAGATCTTTCCGATGGTAGACCAGAGCTTCTGCATAGGGTCAATCTCTAGCCTACCGCCTGAGAAGATCTTCTTGCCTGGAGTTCCACTAGTTAGGGTTATAACTGGTGTACTAAGACCTTCGCTTCGGATGATGACGGTCAGTTGACCCGATGCATCAGTAGATACTTCTTTTTTGTCCGTGGGCGACGTACGAATCCAGACACCATTGACGAGACACTCCACCGAAATCGAGCTGGACAGAAGTAAGGGCTCTAGAGTCATCGGTGTGCCGTCATTCTCTTCGACAGTGACAAGGATAGTATGCGAAGAGAACTCAATCATCTTGTCAGAATGGGGAATAGAGACTTCCGTGGGTTGCTGCCACAATCCACTCTCAATACTCTGCTCAAACACCCTGATAGAGCCAGTGTCATCAACAAAGAAAAGTCTTTGTCCCAGCTTCGGGTTCCTCAAACAAGCAAATCTACCATCTTTTCCCACCTTGTCCAAAAGTGGTATGGCAGGTGAAACTTCAGTAGGTAGCTGCCCCTTTTCTGGTACTGAGAACTCTTGATATGACAAAGCCTTCTCGGGGCTTAAAGTCCAGATCGACAGATGATCTTTTGTCTGAGCAACCTGCATTTGTGTAGCATTATGAAACGCGGGGTCAGAGCTGAGAATCGTGAAGGGAGTCTTGTCGACTTGGAATACCTGCTGTGCAGTTCTGTAGCTTAAACCATCGGCGCCAGAGACCAGAAGATCTGTGAAGCCTGAGTGGCTCTCGAAAGAGGCCAACGCCGTAGCGCCCTTGGGTACTGGCTGGGGAAAGCTTCGCAGTGTGGGATTTTCTTTGATTGGGTTGAATCCAACAAACTTGAGCTGCAGTGAGTCGCTTTCCTCGTATAGAACGAAGAGTCCGCGATGAAGGGGTATGTTGGCAGGGCATTTGTCAAGGACTTTGATTGCGTTGGTTGGCAGCTCGAATGTCTTTTGTCGAGACCATTGACGAGTAGCGGGGTCGACGCACACTGCCCATACATCTCCAGTTGTCTTATCGATGTGATTAAACGTCATATAGAAGCACGGGTATGAGTTCTTCTTGTCATTGCTTGATCCCTAGTTCTCGTCAGCATGGTATTGGTGCATAGCAGCAATGATCCTTACAATGAGGAATTCTCGAATGTTTATAGCCCACTGCTCGCCCGAGTACAATCGACCGGTCAGGCTTTCAGTCGTGTTCCAGTCCTGCCTCTTCGCTGCCATGGGCTCAACAACATATAGCTTGCTAGAGCCATCTTTCTGGTTGGCGGCGAAGACAAGATGGATAGTGCCGTCTATGTCTTGGTTTACGGCCAAAGCGGTGACAACTTGAGTGGCGGCCACTCCGAACTTGGAGCTTAGATGAACAATGTCGTTATCTCCCATTTCATCTCTGAGAATCAATTGAAGCGCGCCGTCATCGTCGATCGAGAATATCATGTTCTCGCCTGCTTCATCTTGGGCGACGAAAAAGTCGCCTTTGAGTTTGACTTCGCCTGCGGGGAACGCATTGTCCATCAACTCGCAGCTGGACGTGACTTTGGGCATTTTAATAGCGTGGTAGGGATTAGAGTATATGAACAAGCAGAAAGATGGAAAAGCGCATGAATGCGACTTGAGATATGGGGCAAGACGGGAGTAAGAGAAAATTTGTGCCAGTAGAGCATGTTTTGAAAGGCCGACAAGCAATTGCCTAAGTCATGGTCAGAACAGCTAGTTATCATCAGCAACGGGGCATTCCGCACCCAAACCAGTCTTGCGTGCATGATTTAGGCCTTGGTTGACAAGACTATCGATGCAGGTGACTGCAATATTGGCTTGGCGTGATCCCACTATGATGTATTCGGAATAGCTGACACTTCGGACCGTTCCAGACATTTACGGAACTCGCAAGCACGGCCAATCATCAGGCGACCTTGACGCTAAGTCGTTGCTTTTCCCCCCATCAGAGCCAATAGATTGATTTGATCCTCCGTGTTCACAGCCCACAGTCTTTGCGAGGTCTTGGCTGTTCAGATAAGAGCAGGGCGGACACAGACAACCCTCCAATTCTGGCCTTTTCCTCACCAACAACTGTCTTTCTCTGTTCTATCTGTGATACCCATCATGTCTAACACGCTGCAATCCCCTTCCCGCCTGGGGCTACAGCTCCAAGACTATGACCAGGTCATTGCTCTATCTCAGGGTAACATCAATGAGACCTTGGCACTTCATTTCATGCGTAACGAGAGACTCAAGGAGTTCAAAGCCATGTTTCCAACATATGGACTCAAAGGAACATTGTCGTCGCCTTCGGTGCACTTGATCGACAAGGAGAACGCTGATCAGGCCATCTTCTACCTCAATTTCGAAAGCGGGACGTATTACTACTTCGAGCAGCCCGGTAGTACGCCCCAGTACGATGAAGATGGCTTCCCCCTGCCAGTTGGACCACCGACGCGTGTCAAGGTTGATGTATCTGACTGGTCCCTGGCGTTCTTTGTGGACTTTTCCTTCAAGAAAATGGCTATTATTCCAGATAAGATTAGGAACGCAATTGAGCTTCCAGGATCTTACAGCGTGAATCAGCTGCTGATCGACTTTGGAACTCCTGAAATTCTCAATATTGCTTGGGATCACTGCAGTATCCCAGGCGTGCCAGAAGCTCAAAAGGCTACATGCCGGGCAGAGATACGCATGTTTCTAATTACGCATTTGGAATCAGTCCTTCTGAAGGAGAATGATCACAACATCCTTGGCTACACTGTGAAGATAGATGCTCCATCCGACGGAAAGACGCCAGAACAACGTCTCAAGGACGTGTCTCAGAAAGCTCCCCATTTTCCTCCCACCTCAGTCAGGCTGCAGACCATCAATTATCGACCTGATGGGAAAGAGGTCCTGGCCGGAGGTGAACAGAGCGACCATAACGCGTTTCTCTTTACTGAAATGACACAGTTCCGAAAGATGCCCAGTCAAGACCTTCAGTGGTCAGGCGATTGGTTCTACAACGGAATTGGCGGTACCTTGGCAATGTCGCGAGGAATCTTCCTTGACCAGTACCTAGCTGAGAAGCTCCAGCCTGCTATCGCTGGTCCTTGGAAAATGGCCAATCACATTGGAAACACCTGCACCGAGTTCAGTGATTACATCCTCAAGTACCAATTCAGGGGCGACGAGGAGTGGATCTTGAAGAGGCCGCAGGACGCGAGCTTGAACTTGAAGAGAGGTGCTGGGGTTCAGATGACATACCATGACGTGGACGAAAACTCTGCGCAATGGGAAGATGATAAATCCGAAAGTGTCAAGTATGTAGCTACGAAAGAACATTACTGGTATAACAAAGCTGAGCTCTCTTGTGTCGTCGAGCCGCAGGTTGGTACTGGCAAGGTCACAATAACGACAGAGCTCAAAACAGATACCCAACGTACAGTCAAATCCAAAGTTGGATCATCAGATCTCCAGCTTGTATGCAAGATCCAATGGAGCACCACCATCGAGCTAAGAGCGATTGAGACAGATGCAAAATTGCTAGTCCGAGTCGAATCAAAGAAGCCAATTGTCGATGTCGACATTGTCAAGGATACTGCCCATGTTGACGGCACAGGGGCGGCAGCTGAGGAGTGGGAGAAATGGATACAAGAAATGGCGGAAGATAGGAAGAAGTGGCCTTTAAAAAAGCGAATTGAAAGTTATATTGAGACGTATGGGCTTCGGTTAGGGAGCATGGCGCATAATTTGGAGGAGGCGTTGAATCAGCAGGGGCGGTTTATCTTTCCGGGCGGTGGAACCTTTGATATGAAAGATCCAATCTTTTCGAAGGAGGGAGATTTACTGATAGGACTCACTTTCAGAGAGGGAGAATAATCTTTATGCACGCTACCACTGGAACGCTCTATCTTTAGATACTATATCTAGCAGCTGCACCCACATGAGCGAGAGACCCAACAATTATTACCGCAGCCAAACGTGAGCTTGTTTGTTCCGCAGTCTTCGTATTTGTCACATGTTCTCCATGGACCACCTCCCATACCAGATGCATTCAAGCACCACTGGCCGCTTCTCGACTTTCCACATTGCTTCCAGTGATAACCACGAGAGCAACCATGAGAAGCTTTGTAGTAACAAGCTCTTTCTTCCCGAACGCTATGCGGTGATTTCTTCTTAACCTTCTAGCCTAATGAAAAAGACCAGGGGGCCCAAAGATGGAGAAGGTAACCAGCTGCGATAAATGGCATGGGGTAGACTTAGCCAATGTCCATACTTGGAAGCTCGTAAGTTTGTATTCTTCTGTTGGTTGTTGGTACTAGGATTGAGGCCCTGTTAACAGTCATTTACCAGGCATGCCTATACGAGGTCAAAGCGATCAAGGATCTGCGATAGTCTAGAGCGCTCCAATTATCTGAGCGGCACCAGTAGCGAGTCCACTCAAACTACAGAGCAAACCTAATAGGCCAGCTGTTTATACCTCATGGGCCCATCAGGCTGCGACATGCAACCAACAGCTAACAACCGACATACCACCAGCAAAGAGGGGGCAGAAAGAGACACTGGCGTTTTCTTGATTCTTTATCGTTTGTCTCTTTTCGTGCCTCAGCAAGATTAAGTAAGCCTATCTGGAGTTTTACATCATCGTCTTCGTCTCGACTTCAAGATGCACATCTCTAAACTGGCTACCATTGCTTCCTGCATATCTTTAAACACTGCAAGCACTGGTAAGGTCCAGACCATGCGTCCCAGGTTCTTTACTAAGTCACAAAGTCACATACAGCGGATTCTACGACGATGATGACGCCTCCATCACCGAGCTAGCATGCTGGAAAGGCGGCCGGATCGTCGAAGGTCAAGACTGGACGAAGCTCGGCCAAGTCACCTATCAGATAGCTGGCTACGAAGGTGTTGAGGGCCCTGATTCTCCATTGTGCGGCACCTGCTGGTCACTGAGCTATGGAGCTACCAGTCGATCTGTTCTTGTTCTGAACAGTGCCCAAGCCGGATCTGGATATGAGACATCGCTGACGCTCATGAACTCTCTCACTGGAGGCAAGGCTGAGCAACTTGGTCGGGTGAATGTTACTGCCTTCCAGACGGAGCTTTTGGACTGTGGTGTTGCAACGGAGCCTACAGAGGAGGAGCTCAGGATGGTTGTCGGAGGGAATTGGTACTCGAAATGGTTTTATGATAACTTTACCTAAGCTGGTTCTGCTGTCTATGCTAAACTATGAAGAGTTTTATATATTTTATGGTAACTCTTAGTAATTTAGAGTAGTTTATGGTACTGCCTCGTCACACAAACACTATACGCTCACCTTTCTGAGCAGCGAGGAAACGTTTGCCTTGTTGGAGTTGACACTCCAAAATGAGATCTACCTGTGTCTCCAATTCGACAACGTAAAATTTGAGCACGTCCTTATGCTTTTATCGTTCCGCTTAGTCACCAAATGCCCAAGGGTGATATCACGGAGAAAGCTCGCTTGCCTGGCGCAATGACTACAATTTGTTAGTATGCAGCTATGTAGCTGCAAAGCATAGCTTAAAATGCGTGGAAACTAGTCGCGAGACGAGACTTTTCAAGGCCACAAGCTCTACGCGGGAGAGTTCGAACATGTGGCCATGCTGGCTGCCAAAAACCCAGAGATCGTCCTTCAGGCGGCGTATCTCCCTATCCCATCGTTTGTATGCCCTATACGCTCGACGTTCAACGGCGTGGGGAAACTTGCGTGTAGGGGATGTCGTAAATATGCCTTATAGTGGGCGTTTCGCACGTCCTGGTAATCGGATGGGGACAGGACACAGGGGACGACATAAAATGCTAGGTCCATTTCTGTAAGACGAGTGCGAAAACAAATACGAGAGTTTGATAATGAATCTGATGATTGTGGATGGTTTATTGATGTGAGTATGATGATGGTATGGAATGTTGACAAGCTGAAGATTGACAACAGAAGAGCCTCATAAGTATTCTTGCAAGCAGCGCGATGACCGTCGTGACCCGGACAAGCGCAACTTTATCCTCGTTGACAGTGGTGCAAGACATTACGACGCTGGTATTAAGCCCTAGACTGTTCCACATCATCGATACTTTGCGTCAGCCTCTAAAGACAAGCTTAAGAGCAGCGTATTTGCTTGTATTGCCTTTACGCATCATTATTGCGGCTAGATACCACGAAGTCAATGCAACGACCAGGACACTACAGATAATCATCTTCGTATCTTTATCTTGAGATAGCATCGCTACGATCTTGGCGGCTTCTGTGGTGACACCCGAAGAGTAACCTTCACTTCCAAGACGGAATGACTCTGTTGAGCTTGTGTGGTTCATGACTGTCGGGTTGATTCTTGGCAATACAGGCCGTTGGCTATGATGTGTTGGCAGTGTTATGAAACTCTCGTACCAAACGCCTCCTTGCTACAAGTAGCTTGTCGGATATAGAGGAGGCGAGAGGTTGTGCCCCAGCAGATGCACAATATGGCATGGTCTGCTCATTCGGGTCAGCATGTCTAATCCCGTCTAATCCCGTCTGACTCAGTCGAGAATCTATTTTCACTCATGCAACCAACGATTATGCAAATCCAAACCAACAAATACTGCGCTGAGAAATCCCTCAGGATTATGATAAGGCACGGACTTTCTTGTAATATTCGCAACGATGTACCTAGAAGTACCTAGCATACGCAATGGAACACCCCCCAAAAGTCCTAGTCATTCCCCTCACCAACTGAGACACGCCCCCGTCAGTGCGACCCGCAGGCGCTTTGCAGGGGTTAAAATCTGACATGCTACGTCAACACGTTGCTGATGTGCTGATCTGGAGCAGGGACTCCGGGTCCTCGGCACAGACACGGGCCATTCAAATGCTCTCAAAATTCCCTCGAAATGTCGGCTTAACTCCTGCTCGTTTGTAATCCGACAACCTTCATCTTCCTGACATCGTGACTATTTTGCTATAGCCACCATCGCTACTCCACAGCAACATGGAGGGAGAGTCGCGCCCCCAGTCACGTACCAAGGATGGTCAAGCCATCGAGAGTAAGCCTTCAGCGCCAAATGAACTTGTCACCTCGGCGAAGGAGCATGCACCCAAGCAGCTTGAGACGAGTTATGTGGAAGGACTGCCTTTGGTACTTGTGATGGGTGCTGTGTCCATTGCATCGTTCCTTGCACTGCTGGACACATCCATCATAGCAACTGTGAGTCGCTTTTGTCATGGTGCTGCGAGCCTAGAAGGCATACCAAGCACAGAAGACTAATATCTTTACAGGCTATTCCCCAAATCACTTCCGATTTCCACTCGCTCAAAGACATCAGCTGGTATGGCTCAGCTTATCAGTTGTCAAGGTATGCATCTCCCAGTTGCGGAGTTCGAGTCCAGCCATGCTAACTAATATTCTACTCCAGCGCAGTAATCCAACCTCTGGTTGGCAAGCTATATACACAGTTCTCTCTCAAAGTAAGGAGCCGTCAAATATCAACCATCGAAGTTTAGTGTTAACCTGTTCTTTCAATGGGTCTATCTGGCCTTCTTTGCTATCTTTGAAGTCGGGTCACTTGTTTGCGGCGTCGCCCCCTCGTCGGATGTTCTTATCATCGGACGCGCGATAGCAGGCATTGGTGTTGCGGGGATATTTGCTGGGGGTTTGACAATCATCGCATCGGCTATTCGCCCCGAAAAGAGATCAGGTACGTCATGGAATGCGTTCGATTCATTTGGTACTGAAGATGGATAGTGAATATGGGACTTGTGATGGGAGGTCAGTGTGCACTATGCTGCCTAACCCTTTGCGCTTTTGTTCATCGCTGACCGTGTTTGATGCTATCAGTTGCTCAACTAGGGCTTGTCAGTGGCCCTTTTATCGGAGGAGCCTTTACGCAGCGTGCTTCGTGGCGATGGTGCAAGTGCCCTTATTCCATTGGGCGAGATATCAAACTAACGCAGTAAACTTACAGGCTTCTACATCAACTTACCTATCGGAGCCATAGTCCTGGGGGGTATCTTGTTCATAAAAATAGCAGATCAACAGCCCGTACCGCCCGTCGCGCAAGGTTCCCAAGCGTCTTGACTTGATCGGATTTGTTATGTTCGCGGGCGCTTCTACTATGCTTATGCTAGCCTTGCAATGGGGCGGCACCGCCTATCCGTGGAGTAGCGCAGTAACAATCGGCCTGTTCTGCGGATCCGCTGCCTCACTAACGGCATACGTCGCTTGGAGCTGGAATAGGGGTGATGAATCTCTGATTCCGCCGGTGCTGCTGAAGCAGCAAGTAGTCATTGCTTGCTTCTTCTTGACTCTCTTCATGATAGGCTCTGCCCTGATGTTGTCTTACTGGTTGCCGGTGTACTTCCAAGCAGTTCTTGGACAGAGCCCTATCGGTAGCGGTGTGAGCATGTTGCCAAATATCTTGGCTTCAGTTGTCTTCAGCATCGTGGGCGGTATCATCAGTAAGTGGCCCTTCTGCTCAATCTGACGAGAGCCTCTGCTGACTCTGTCTCCAATTCAGTTAGTAAAGTGGGATACTATCTACCCCAGGCAGTCATCGGTACGGCTCTCTTAACAGTCGCCACAGGCCTCTGCAGTACCCTCGACCCATACACATCCACTGGAAAGTGGGTTGGTTATCAATTTCTCGCAGGAGTTGGACGAGGTCTTATGCAACAAGTACCATACACAGCCATTCCCCATTCATGCTCGCAGCAGATGATTCCCATCGCCATGTCCTTTATGGTACTGGGTCAGTATATCGGCGGATCAATATTCCTTGCACTTTCAAACGTTGTTTTTAGCTCCAGCTTGAAGTCGTTGTTGAGAGATTAGGCGCCTAAGGTTGATGCAGCTACAGTCACTGCAGCGGGAGCATCAGCAGCAGAAATGCGCAAGGTCATATCCGCAGAGCAGTTGACTGGAGTCATCAAGGCTTATTCACTCAGCATCGATCGTGTTTTTCATCTGGGAACAGGGTCGGCTGCGGCTATGTTTGTAGCAGCGTTCTTCACAGGGTGGATTGATACGCGAGGACAGAAGGATAAGCACGAGTCTGTACCTGACGAGGCGAGTAGCTCAAAGGAAAAGGCATAAGAAGACAAACAATATCTTAGGAAAAGCTATACTTTAAATATTATTAATAATAAGTACTTATTAAACTTTAGCTATAACTTTGAACTTTTCATTTAATTTGAATTTAAGTTAATATTATATTGCTTTAATATAATTTAATAAAATAATTAATAAATTCTTTAGTTTTACACATTACGAAAGGACGAGGGTTACATCTCATAAATGGAATAGCTTACGGCAAAGCTACGGAAAGACGCGAATCAGCGCTTTACACTGTGTCAAGAGTTATAGCGCATAAAAAATCGATAGTCTGGATGCAAGCGAGCATTTTGGGCCTAGCAGCAGTGAGATCCGCACTGTAAGATCACGTCGACTGATAACCGGCGTCGATGAGTTTGTCCACAGCAATGTCCTCAACTATCGGTATCGCACAAAGTTCCAAAGAGCACGCCGACAAATAAATCTCAACCATGTCTTTCCCTGTCCTCCACGTCATCTACGCTGGCCGCGGCGATGCCATGATCCTCGAATGCGATGACTACAAACAACCCGGTGGACGCAATTTCATTCTTGTGGATGGTGGTCCCAAATGCTACAACGCTTATAGCGGGTGGGAAGCCCCGTACCATCGATATCTCTCGTCTGCATGCCAACAAATCATGGGCAATCGCAATGATTTTGCTGCTATTGTCTTTTCGCATCCCGATGAGGACCATTATGGGGGCTATCTGCACTCGTTGCAAGGCCCTGGATTTCCTACCAGCAATGTGTTTTTCCCAAATGCTAGCTCCGAAGATGATGACTCCAATAAGCCAATTGAAGATATCTGCACCAACGCTGGGATGCGAACAGCAGCTCCCCGTCCTGGGGAAGAGTTCTATGAGTACTTAATTCCTCCAATCAAAGCAATATATCCATCGGGCATTGTATGGTACTATGGGGGTACAGGTCGTGACGTGGCGAAGATACCGCTTAATCCCGGCAAGACAAAGAATAAGCGCAGCATTCTCATGTACACCGCAACACCTGGATCGGACGGAGAAATGGGGATATTCTTCACAGGCGACAACCATGCCGACATCATCTCTGAAGCGATAAATAAGGCGATACCCTTGGAAACGCGCAGATTCTCAATCTACAAGATACAGCATCACGGGGCGCTTGATGACAACATGAAACAATTCTCTCTACCAACATTCACAAAAAAGGTCGAGGCAGCAGGGTTCATCTATTTTCTTCTCAAAGTTCGGCTCGGAACTGCCTATCTCCCCTTTAAGCGATCTGTCATCGACACTGTGAAGTATGCGGCCGGGGTGTTGGACCGCGACATCCTGCGATTCCAAGACCTAATCAACTACTTTAACAATCTTCAATATGCGATGGAAGGCTTAATGCAGACACACTTGGCAAATGTGAACCCTCCAGCTGAGAAGGCGGATGAGATAGCTATTGAGTTCCCTCTCGGCGCCCCATCCTATTTACACGAGGCTGAAGGTCTTTTGAAAAAGCTCGATGAAGTGATTAGCGACACAAAGAGTCTGCACCGGGAAAGATGGAAGAAATTCAGAAAAAACAATGATACCCCCGAGTTCGGTACATATATGCACGTCTGTTGCGTTCGAAAGTTCTACATAACCTTTGGGGCTGATGTCTATGTCGTCAGCGCGAATGGAGAGTACAATCATCCTCGCCCAGAAGTTCTAGTCGGACTGGCTATCGCAGTCAAGGACCAGAATCGTAGCGCCCGATTGTACGTGACTAGTGGCAGAAGTATCGACATGGAAAGTCTAGACAGGGTTGCAAAAGTCATGGGACATGGCTCAGTCGAATCCCTGTTCTTTGGAGAGAATCTAAGGATCTCATATCTGAGCCGCGGCACATACATGTCGCTGAGTGGCGAGTCACAGGGCATGGAAATGCCACCGAATATCGAGCGTGATATGAAAAAGGTGACGCAAGAGATTCGGTTCCCAATGGACGATGCGCAACTCACGCTCCGACGTGAGATACATTTCTGGCTCGAACATTCCAACCACGACATCCTTGCCATGACCGAAGAATACCAGATAAGGACGTTCGTAAACGGAGCCTGGTGTTATCTATACCTCAAGGCTGACCAGAATGGAATTCGCTGGTATATCGCGGACGACAATAACCCCCAGACCGTCTGGATAGACAAAAAAGACCTGAATATCGTCACAACAGGGGCATACGATTTAACATGCCGAATTGCAAAATATACCAGCTTATCTAGAAGATTCAGGTACACACTTCAAGGACCGAACTACGGATCGCCGCTATATTCCATTGAAGACACTGTTTCCAAGGAGATGCTGTATTATGTGCCTAGCGGAGATGTTGACTTTGGCCCAAAACCTGACAATGCTCCGTTGGCTTCAGTCCATCTGAGAGTTGCCCCAGCACAGTTCCTCACAGAGGCCGATTCTTCTGGAGTGATACATACCAATAGCTATGTTGAGCCTTATCTGTCATCTGACCTGAAAAGTTCAACGGAAGCAACCTCCTTTGGCTCTCACGTTCCACTCCGCCAGGCATTCGAAATTCTGAATGACCCTATCAAAGAAAAATTGAACCCGAACATGATCGAAACGCTGAGCCACTTATATAGAAACCAGAGTGCTTTGACGGAAGTCATTGGAAGACTCCCAGAGTCGCTGCTTAAGATTGGACTGGCAACTTTTGAAATCGATCTTGATGCGTCAACAGCCATCCTCCACTCATATCCACTGGAAGGGCAGGTCATTGGCAGTGCTATCTTGCAGAGAGCCTCAGTTAAAACAGAAGCGAGCAATGTTATCGATACTGAAATGGCTGGATTCAAATTTCAACTCCAGGATGTTGTTGTCAGGGTTGAAAAGTGTTGCTCTCCACAGGTCCATCTTACCGTGGAGACTGAAGCCACTTTGAAGGCAAAGGACTCAAAGAAGCAAAATGACATTAAATTCGAGATGACTTGGAAGGCATCAGAGGAAGAGACTATCATCTCTTTCAGTTCCACCGTGATAGCCATCACGGATCTCCTTACCGCCCTTGTCGACACAACGACCAATATCGAGACGATTCTGAAGGGAAACATCCCTCTCATGGGCAAGTCCCCGGAGGGAGAGGCTCCAACTTCGATCAAAAGTATGCCGGCGGGATCAATGTCCGAAGTAGGGTTCTCTCTTAGGCAGCCCATTGGTATGATTGATATGTACGACTTGGCCGATATATGGGTCCGCACAGCCTCCTCAGAGTGGCAAAACTTCTTACCCGTACCAGATAACTTTAGAAACGTCAAGGCTGAAGTCCTAATCCGTGTGATGGACCCTCTATATTTGGAAACATTGAGGCTAGCTACGAGTGTCCAGTTTACCATGCCGCTCCCAAGCAACACTGAGAGGAGCATCACAGTACGATTCGATGCTATACCTTTGGCCAGGGAGGGTGACTACGACTACCGACTCCAGATTATCTCTGCCGATTACGGAGTAACGGTTCCTGATATTGTCGGGGCCATTGGCTTCACCGATGTCTCAGAGAAGATCAGAGCAATACCTGCGCTGGACCGAGCTTTCGGGGCAGTGCAAGTCCAACAGGCTGGAATATCTGTTGCAAATGTCAACAAGAAGTGGAATTATCAGGAGTGGGACTTCGAGCTCTGCATTCCCTACTTTGACCTTATCGTAGGGTCTCTTTCTTTGGTAGATACAGTGATAAAGGTCGAATGGCATGGGGATGGGGATATTCAGGCAAAAGGTGAAGCTACCTTTCGAAGTGAGACACTGCAGAAGGAGGCAGGACTCACGCTTGGGCTTCCAGCAAAGAATGAGCTGGGCTACATCATCTTCGACTCCCCTGACAGCATCACGTTGGCTGATATCTTTACTATTCTCGGGCTCGGACCGATGCCCGATATTCCGTTCCTGAGTGGAAACAGCGCAGTAGAGTTGACGCACTGCGATGCAAAGCTCGATCGGTCTGAAAAGGGCAACATATCCATCTGTTCATCTACCATCAAGTTTCAGAGAGAAGTGCTAGAGGTTCAAGACTTCAAGCTGCGAGATGTCGAGTTTTCATTATCGTGGCAACGAGGGGAACAGACAGGCGGTGAGCATAAGGCTAAATCAACAGTCTCGTTTGTCATATCGGCTTCGCTGCAGCTAAAGAGTATCAAGTCTATGATCACTGTCAAGTATACTGGTGAGAAGAAAGAGTTGATAGCTTCTATCATCCCTTTCACAGGGTCATCACTGAAAGGGGTGGATGTCTTGCACTTTCTGATTCGTGGTGTCGACAGTCCCCTCCACTCCGCATTGGGTAGCCTGGAAGTCAAGGTTGTAGAGATGTCTCTGGATCTCAGCACAGGCTCGCCGTCTTCTTTCAAGCTAGAGATGAGGGATGATGCAACTCTCCAACTTCCCTCAGCGACAGATAAAGAGCATTTCACTGTGGGCTCAATCTCAATAGAGTATAGCAAAGTGGTGGGCAATCTTGATGTGTTTGCCGCGCTCGTGATTGAAGGCATTCGAACAAACATAAGCCTTGCTACCTTTACAAACTCAACAACCGAGGAGCGGTCTGTCGAGTTCAGTATCGTCCTACAGAAAGGACAGAAAGAACTGGAGCTGATCGCTCTTCTTGCGGCGGTAGGAATTTCTAACGTTGACATACCACGACCAGAAGGATGCCCTGAATTTGGTATTGGCATGGCAAACATCAAGGGCAAGTTTATTGATAAAGATAAATCTGGTCTCAAGTTTGTGCAGCTGGGCGTGCACATCGAGATGGCAAGGGTTGTTATGTCTGATTGGGACATGTCTATGGACTACATCTACGTCGACGTTGACTATAATAAGGCCCGCACTGACAAGCCTTTCTCAGTTTTAGTTTCAGGCGTGCTCTCAGTTGCTGGTTTGTTAGAGATGACGATTAATTACGTTGGTAAAAAGGATGCTTTGGAGATGGACGCCGAACTACATCTCATCAGGGCGGAGGAAGTCAAAGTCAAGTCCATCTTGGAATGGTTAGCTGGTCAATCTATCGAAGACTCGCTACCTACATTCATTACAGAGGCAATGATTGATCTGAAAAAGTCAAGATTTGGAATGTCTCTCAGTCGTTACAAGGGAGAGGGAAGCTCTGTCATCGCAATTTCGTTAAGCTTCGCTTTGGGGTCTGTTATTGTGCAACTTGCGAGAACTAAGGTTCAACCGAATGGTTCAAAGAAAGAAGACAAACTGCCATGGAAGACCATGCTCAAACTTGCAGTTAATGCCCTTCCGCGCCCACCGCCATTGCCGCTTGTTGGCCAGATGGAACAGCCGTTCTCCACTCAGATATACTGGACCAATAGTGACATCTCACTCGAGGAGGTTGACAGGCTGAATAGTCTGGCCATTTTCAAAAATCAGCAACTCCTCCGGTCAAATCATGCCACAGAAGCCTCTGTCTTTGGCCAAGGCTTATCATTCATGCTCCTTGAAAATGGCGACATCGTTCTTGCTTCAAAACCTGCCCAGAGTAAGATGACAGCGAGTTCAAAGGAGGAAGAAAAGCCAGAAGCTCAAGAGATGAAGAAAGTCAACAGGAGAGTCAACGGTGTTAACATCACAAGCATTGGCTTTGAATATGATGCCAAGGGGCAAAAGATCAAAGTCAAATTTACAGCACATATGACTGTTGGGCCCTTGGACGGTGAGCTGATCAACTTCAGCATGTCAGTGAAGTTACCACGTGGTGAAAGGATAGATTTGAGCGATTGGAAGAACCTCGACATTGAGATGGGTCTGGAGGGACTGTCACTAGCAATGACAGGCTCTAGCCTCAATGTCGCTGGTACTTTGAATTGTATCAAGACCGAGGGAGATGATGTTTCTATTACAGGCTTCGAAGGGGGAGTCAGTGTCAAGCTAAAGAAGTACCAATTCGTTGGTTTTGGTTCTTATAAGAGCGTCAAGATCCAACAGGAAGAATTTGTCTCTCTCATGGGCTACGCAATGCTGAAAGGGCCGATGTTGAAGACTGGCCTTGTGGAACTAACCAGCATCAGCGGCGGCTTCGGACTCGGTTCAAAGCTTGAGATGCCATCTATCACTGAGATACACAAGTTCCCGCTCCTTCTATCTCCTGATACTGATCCAATTATCATGTTCGAGAGACTTCGAGGAAGAGATGGTGCAAAGTACATGACGGAGACAAATGGCGCAAACTGGGTTGCTGCTGGAGTTACGGGAACAGCCTGTGAGCTTATCGATGTCCAAGCTATCGTGACTACTCCATTGGATCCTGTTACTGGAGAGTTGGCAATTGTGGGCACCGCATCTGCCAAGTTTCCAAGAGATGCAAAGCCTGGCCAGATACTTGCAGCTGTCAAGATCAATTTCCAAGGCAGTATTGACATGTCTCGTGGCTCTATGCTTTTCGAAGGAAGAATTGCCGATGGTTCCTTCATTCTTTTTGAAGACTCTGTTCTCAGTGGGGGATTCGCAGTGGGAGCGTGGTTCGGCACGAGTCCACAGGCTGGAGACTGGTGCATCAGCATTGGAGGCTGGCATCCAGCATATCAACCACCATCCCACTACCCCAGTGCACCTCCTCGCATGAGACTTCAGTGGAGCTATGGAGATAACAAGGAACTTTTGCTTGATGGACAGGCTTACGCGGCAGTGACTCCCGATGCACTCATGGCTGGACTGGCTGTTAGTGCCAGCTACAAGAGCGGTCGATGCGGTGCACACTTTGACTTCAGGGCTGACCTCATTCTTTGGATGCACCCAATTTACTACGACGCTCGTTTCTTTATATCAGCCGGGTTATCGTACGAGGCGAAAGCTTGGATCATAACTCTGCCGCTGAAGATTACCTTGAGTGCTGAGTTGCACATCAGTGGACCACCGTTCAGGGGTGAGGTTTACTTCAACTGGACAGTTTTCTCATTCAGGGTCGAGTTCGGCGAATCGAACAATGAAGGTCTGAGGAAGCTGGAGTTCAGCGAGTTCCTCGGTGTGGTGCTCAGGAAGTCGGAGAAACATCATGTGCTGTCTCTCGAATCTGGAGCGATAGCACCCAGCAAGGCACCTAATGCTCCACAGACACCAAATTCGGCATGGGTGGTACGCGGGGGCTCATTTTCGTTCAGTGTCACATCACGCGTGCCTACGAAGCAGATCAATTTCTTGAGGGCCTTGGACCCCGAGAGGAGGTTTAACGGCAGTATTCTGGCCCGACCCATGCAGCTCCCAGCTGGCTCTCTCGGCCTGACAGCAAACATGGAAGTGTCTATCCTCAAGATTAGTGAGCTTGGTAACCAAGAGGTGCAAGACTTCACTTTTGAACCTATAAGCGAGCAACTAGCAGCATCGCTTTGGGGCCCATTTGATGGTAATGCCAACGGAATGCTTGGTGGTACGTCCCGTGAGAGCACTGTATCACATGTTGTCGGGCTACGAATAGAAGCTCCTGTGGCTAAATGGTCGAGTAAAAACCCTCGGATTATAGGATTCAAGACACTCACGCAGCCAAACCCTATCGCTGCTTTCTTCAACGACAACCCAACCCCAGATAATGGCCTGGACGCAACACCGAGAGCTGATGGTGGGAATATGGAAGAAGACTTTGAGAACGCTAGAGAGGCACTGACAGGTAGTGTCAGACAAGAGGAAGAGCTAGAAGCTGTCAAGAAACGAAACGCTCGCAGGTCATACATCGTTGGTCAATGGATGGCTGTTCGGAAGCTCAAGACACCGGCTGGTCTCGAGAGTGATGTACCCTTGAGATATGCCAAAAGTTTGGCTCACTTCTCACATGTTGCTCCCAGAGTTTCACTAGAATAGGTCGTTTACTTGATTCATAGTACACAGTTTTCAGTGTGGTCCATTGATAGCGTGAAAACATGTCAAAAGTTGAAGCCACCCCAATAACCGACTCCAATAAACCCATCATCAAGTTTCATAGCCATGATGGGCTTTCCTCCATATGTAGCAAGTCCAAACGGGCTTCCCCTCCGGACGACACGGTTGTTATTTAATGTTATAGGTTTTGCTCCAGCTTGAATTGTATTCATCCAGACATTGCCCCCTTGGTTCTGCCACAGAGCTAATTCAGTCCATTTTCCATTCTGTTTCCACGACACAGCCTTAATATCGGAATCTTCTTGAACCATTTCTTCTTCTATAGTGCCTATATCTTCTTCATAATGCGGGTATGGACTATCGTCGCCAAAGCGAAAATAGGCAGTGTCGCTGTTCAACTTCCCTTGGGGATTGGCATAGAGGAAATATAACCATATCCCCTTGTCCCATACTCCATAGGTAGTTGAAATATGTGAATGCTCGCGAACTGTTTCTGTTGGTGCTTTTGCTTCCCAAATTTCGACCCATGAAGTATCCTTTGCCAGTTTCTTTCCAGTTATTGATCGGTCAGGGGTTATCCAAGCGACTGTCTCCATCAAGCGATGGGGCCTATCATCTTGATAAATATCGTCAATAGCCACTGCGGACAGACTGGCGTACTGATAAGCGGTTCCCGGCCCAGAAACAATTGTGACTGTGTCGATACCTGTCCAGCTTCTCGTCGTAGCAATATTTTTAATTGAGCCATCAGGCCCAACGCAATAAACATTGATCTTATCACTAGAGGGGGTGTCTCTTAGACCAATGGTTGCGTCTAATCCAGCTCGGGGCTCAGCTATACCGTCTGGCGCCTGAAGAACACGCCTTGTATACCATGTTGGATCAGCATGTCGCCAGGAGCCGTTGCATATTGCTCCATTCTTGGACATCCAAAATATATCGAGCTTGTCAGTGTGTGCTGATACAGCCACTATAGCACCCGGCAATGGAACTTTTGCTTCTTGGTCCTTTTCGTCTCCTGGGGGGAAGTCTAGAGGTATTGTTTCTCGTTTCCACTCTGGATGCGGCGGCTCACGATATGCCCGCTCGACGGTACAATGCTCCGAAATCCAGAAGATATCTAGATGTCCCTTTTGCCGAGATATGACGGCAATAGAGCTATTGGGAAGCTGGCTCACAGCCCAGGAGTCTGGAATGCGCTCCAGGTTCCAAGGCCCTACGTCCTTCCAATTATACCACGTGCCGTCGGAAGAGTTCACTATCTCCTGTCTGCCCCGTTTTCCTGAGTTCCTGAGCATCCAAAAGCTTTCCGTAGCCCGAGCATTGATAATCCATTCATATGACATCCAAAAGAATGAAACTGACCCCATCATGCTTTGGACTAGGACGCGTCTCTTGATGTGATCAAAGGCAACTATCAGTGCAGCCTGTGTCGTGTGTTTTTCTGGCGGACCAGCCAGTCGTCCCGCTTCTGGGATCATTGCTATCGTTGGATATCCCTGATCACCAGACTGTGCGGGCTTGACATATCTGAACGTGTCCCAGAAAAGATGAAAGGCAAAGATGACTGGATATCCTTCCGCAATACACAATCTGACCTTGGATAAAGTCAAAGTTCCCAGTACTGCCGACTCATGATCGTCCAACATATTTACCTCTTCCGATCGGTAGTGGTCGAGGCGATATGGCTCAAGAATAGGTGCTTTTGAAGCTTCATTGTAGGCGAGATCTGTGGGCCGTTCGTTGATCCCCCAGACAACTTCATATTTGTAGTCAAACTCCTCCTCAACCAGCCATGAAGATCTTTCTTCTAGTGAGGCACCGTAGACATTGACAGCTCTCAAGGCCTCGCGGATCCCCAAGGGCCTGCGAAGGACTCGGCGCGGCCATTGAGTATGGTCCTTCGCCTTGTCCATTGCTGTCAAGGCTCTGGCATTGTAATAGATGAATCGCCTAGACGGCTTGGTAACAAGGTGGCCGTTGTCACCGATGTAGGCCGTAAAACGAAAAGCCGCGCAAACAGCATCGAGAACAGTAATTTCAGTGGGTGTTGCGTATCTTTCAAAAGCAAATGGATGACTAGCTAGGAGGCTGGCTGAAAAAAGCTCAGTTTTGTCCTTGGATTCGCCATTGTAGATGTATGGCTTGTCGTTGACGTCGAAGCCATCAGCTTGATACCAGTTTGTGACCATGGCTATCAGGTTACGTGGAATACCAAGTTTTACAATTAAAGTCGGCCATTTTCACGAAAAATGAAGAGGATATCAGTGGTCCTCGGATAAGACGAACAGGGTCTTCTGCAGTGAATCGATAGTGTGAGAGTCTGGGCCTTCAACACCCCTCACAGTGTGGATGTGCGGACTGTTACACATGGTAAATATTCTCATTTGAGCTGGCTGCATTTGCCACGGAAGATACGGAAGTCCGAGCGCGCGACCAGCTGCGAAGATAGCATGCTGCTCTCCTCCGTAATGTCTTGGCGACTAATCGTCCATTTTGAGGCCTCCAATCGAACACGTCTGCCTTACCAGTCTTGCTTGTGACCCCGCACCACTCAAATTATGCCTTTCCGAGCCGTATTCCTCCTCAACCCCAACCAGGACATCATCACTAATATGGTCCGAAAGTACCACGTTGCTCAGTAGAAATCCAAAGTTGACCTTTTTTGCGAGCCCTGGTGCCCGTAGCCGTAGCTTGACAGTGAAGCAGGGCTTGTCTCCCGTAACATAAGCGCTGCCGGACACCCAGCGAGCAGAATCCTGGCCGAACAATGTGACCTTCGGTGGAGTGACTGCTTTTGTATCTACCAACTCAGTCAAGGGAAAGGACACGTTAATTCCTTGGAAATTGTCACCGCTTAGTGGCTCAGCTTGTGTGGGTTCGAGGGTAACGATAAGATCAACAACACGTGTTCCGCTGTCCAAAGAATGCTTTTTCAAGACTCTGCAAGATGTCGTGATAGTGCTTGCATGAGTGTAAGGAGATGCCTCCTGTATAGAAGTCGTTGTGCTGGCAGTCAGAAGAGATGCTTTTGCTGAGCTCTCAGTAATCATTGGCCTTGCTGCTGAGACCTTCTCCTTCTCATCGAAGACTCTGAATCCGAGCTTGATGGAGCCAGTGCTGGGTTTGAGCTTTGTTAGATTCATGATCTTGGAATCCCCTACGCGACTCTTGTGGCTCAGCTGAAACGGCTGCAGTGGGAGCTCTCTGTCTGCGTTGGATGGATCCTTTGTCGCCTTGATAGACAATTCTTGTATCTTATCACCTAATACAAATGATAGAAGAGCTGAGGACCCAGTTGCAGCATAGTCGCCCCCTTCGCTCTTAGCAGCCGGAACGTATATCTCCATGATCTTTGATGGATTCAAACATCCCGTCACAAAGTTGAACACCGTTGATGACCCTAATTCCTGTATGATAGCTGGAACTTTTACGGCATCAATCTTAGTACTTAAATTCTCTGGCAGAACGCCAACAGGCTCGATTTCGATCCTGTTTGGCTCCAAGACTTTGCCTACAGCGAAACGCTGTTGGTGAGGGGCTTGACTTATCGTCAGACCCGAAGGCAGATCGTTTGGCCTGCAGTTGAGGATGAGTAGCAAGGCTCTATCGCTGAGCTTTTTATTCACCAGGAATTCAGGTGACGGTGCCTCAGAAATCCCAGTTCTGACACGAGGATCATCGAAGGTCTTGAGAAGTGTGCCGCAAATGATAACTCCCCATCGAGGAATCCTCGGCTGCCTGTACTTAAGCTCCACCTTTTGAAGGTAAAGGTTGATGGCCCATTTGATTTGGTTTCTGGTGCAGTCTTCACTGACGGTGCTGTGGCTTCCGATGCTTAAAGCGCCATCGACGAGGGTATCAAGCCAGAGCGGATCAATGTGGAATGTGAAAATGGCCTCAGTATCGAGAATATCGGGCTCGGGAAACATATAGTTGTGTGGGACTGCCTGAAGTGTGAGGAGCTGATTATAGACAAAGTCGAGGACTTTGGCCAGGTAGAGTCCTTCCTGCGTAGGTTCTACTAGTTCTCTTGCGTACCAAACTTTGTCATCAACCAAGATGTCAACCTCTTTTTCAAGAAACTCGCTAACAGGGTTGCCATATGTCTCTTCGCTAGAACTAGACATAGCCGTATTAATTTTTGATTCGGGAGACTTTTCTCGAACTGCTTTCTTCCATCGAGATCCTGTTTCAGCTGCCAGTAGGGCTTTTGAGTCCGCTTTGCCTTGGGAAATCTGCTTGAGCTTCTCATACCAGCTAGGCGGTGTGGCATCCTGTGAGACTTGAGAATTTCCGCCAGAGAATGCTGCCGACGAGCCTTTCCGCTGCAACTGCGCGATCTTCGTTCGTAATGCAGATATAGCCATGGTGAACGAGGAATTCTCTATCGCCAATGATCGGCCAAGACTCCATGCTGCCGAGTATGTGATATCGATAATACCGGTTGTTTTGTCGATGATTTGTAGCCCGGAACCATGGCCTGATGCTTCAGCACTGTCCAGCTCATCTCCTCGCGGTCTCTGGGGTATCAGCGGACCCCGAAAAAGTGCTGCAGTCTGTTCTCCCGTTTGGGTCCGGTGTTTGGCCATGGTGTAGCCAGCTTCAAGGCGTCGTCTAAGCCATTGGTCTGTTGACGGTTCCAGAATCCGCGCCAATGGCCTGACGTTCTTCGATGCTTGTTCAATTACGTTTTTGATCTCGCCGTCATTGCCTTTTGTCCATTTGAAAGACCAAGAGTACAGTGAGACCAAACCTGTTAAGACTGACTCGCCGGGCATGCTCAATTTCGAGACTCCCATGAGAGAAACAAGATGGGCATATGCAGTGGTGGGAGATTCAATCTCCAATGGACCAGATCGGTGACCTAGAACAATGCTGAAAGTATCTGTGGTCGAATCCCGTGGTTTTGTTGAGCGTGATCGTCGGATATGGGATAGATATGAGTACCGTGCAATGGCTGGCTCATGTTCAGTGTCTCCCATCTGCTTAGAGAAATATGCTCGAAAGGCTGAGGAGTTGACAAAAATAAGGTTGGCGCCATCATTAGCATCTGTATCAAGGCCTTGGCTGGATAACGGGACTTGAATGGGCGATGGGACTGGATCGGATGAGGTCTTCAACTCTTGCAGCTGCTTCTTACTCAACCGAAGTGACAAAGTTGAAGATGGCTCAGGTCTTGCCTCGATGGTGGGAAAGGTCTCGATCTCCTTTTCTTCAAAGACCAGCAAAGCGACCCATGGTATAAGCGACCCATCTAGGTGTTGGTTGGCGATGGCTTGATTGTCGTCTGGACTCAGCTCCCATGGTATATGAGGATCACTGAGCGTGATTTGAGGCAATACTTTGGAAGGCACAGACTCTCCTTCTCCCGGGTAAATGGAGTGAATCGAGCCGGCAGGGAGTCGATATTCACTTGGCCCTTGGACTTTGAAATTCTTGTCTGTAAAGAGAGTCGTAGGGTTTTTTCCATCTGGCGACACCTCCTGCGTAACTTTCACTAGGTAGTCGCCCGGGGTAAGAGAAGGTTGAAAGGAGGAGAAAAACTGTGCCTGGCCAGGCTTCAATTCTACAAAAGCTGACATAGTTAGAATCTTGCTCTTTTCGCAATGGTTTACCCAAATGTTCAGGAAGATTCGAAAGCAATGCGATCCCTTCACATGTGATGCAGCGGTGACCTCCGCCTCTTGAGGATGGATATTGTGACCAGTCTCACATCCAGCACAAGACCCCTGGTTCAGCTCCCCACCATAATCAATAGCGCACAAACTATCGAAACACAACATATCCACTAATATTGACACTGTGCTTCGAGACTGGACGTTTGCATGTATCCACAAGGCCGTGTGTCGGTTGTGAAGAACCAGCTGATGAGAGGTAAATGTCCATGTCAAGCAATCGGTACGGCCCGCGCAAGCTTTCAGTCAAAAGAGCATCCCCACGAATTGTCCCGATCACTAAGACTCGCCGATATGTCGCAGTCAATCAAGTGCATTGGCATGAAAGTCGATGCCTATATTTTAAATACTTCAGTTGTAGGCGATAGCTTCTTTCTGGCCCCGGTTCATCCACCACGCTACGAGAGCCTCTCTCCGGGCAATTTTGACTCAAGGTCAGATGTCGAGGGTCCCATTGATCTGAACAACGCTTCACCTTGGAACGCCAATCCGCGGATAGCAAATATTGGAACCGGTCAAGTTCTGAAGTCCAAGCTTGGTATATACCTTCACTGGTGTCTGCCAAAGCAGTTCAGGCGAGGAACTGCGGATTTAGATGGAAATCAAAGTCTGGATAGCACTGGGCCTATGCAAGTGAGTTACAAACTTAAGCTCACATGACACTTGCTAATCTGGATAGTATGAAGCGGTGCCCGACAGGTGGCTTATATTCCGCCACATTGAAGAATCCCAGCCAGATACCCCAGCTCTGGAGATATTCCTAGTAGAGAGCAACAAAGTTCGAACAGTCAGCAGTATCCTTGAAAATGGAGGGGATCCCCTTTTAGTTTCGTCGCCGTTCATCGATAGAAAGGTTTCTGTGGAAAAACAAATCACAACGGTCTTGGGGCAGATCTCATGTTTGTCACAAGATTGGGACGGCATCGAGGACGATAGTCAACACTATCACAGCCCCCTCACTGTGTTGGGATCGGGAAACCCACTGTTCGCAGACTTCATTCCTCATAACTCAGCTGTCTTCAGCTTTCACGATAACCTGACAAAGGAAGGTGCCGAACCCGGCTCAATTGAGAGCGCAAAGATCAACTATTCTGTCTACGGCTTTTTCGCCAAGGACGCTCTCACACTTTCTTCTAACTCCCCAAACAAGCCAACGAAGCCGGTCTCGGTATGCTGGGGATCGCTGTATTCTGTTCGTTATGAGAGGGATGCTGCGCCCAGTAGGATTAAAGCGGCAGAGATGGCCAAACTATTTGCGGACACGCAGCCACTGGCTGTCGGCAACGACGTGATAGATGCATGTGTTGCCTTGCTCAGGGGATCATCTTCTAAAGAAGCATCCATGGCCGAAGCTTTTGAGGGTTTGAAGTGCGATGCTTCTCTGCAACAGTCAAACTCACAACTTGACCGTGCATCAACAGCTGCCACCAACTTCAAGGGTACGCATGGCGGATATTGCTGGCGAATCAAGAGAAAGGAAGACGAGGGTGCTTCGTTGGGTAGTGGCTCGTTTTCAAGAGTCCAGCAGCCAAGCATATCATCTAAAGAGAAGAGGGTTGTGCTACGCCAGCTGAACATGTTGCAAGGCTATCTGGATGCTCTTTGTCGTCGGAAACGATATATAAGACATCTGGTCTTTTGCGAATGGTGGAAACATCGAAGTCTAATTGGTAGCCACGACAGTCTATCTGTGTGGCGCAGATCTCGGTGCACTGGAAGGGCTAAACTCCTACTGGAGGAGATGAAAAGACTTGCGCTTTTGGTAAGCTCAGCAGAGATCCAGATCATGTCAGTCATGAATAATTCGTTGCCATGTGGACCATTTGAAAAGGAGGAGACCAGCAAGTTCTTCTCTCATACGGACCCGGCGTTCGTGCTCAGAAACATGGGTAGCGGTTGGCCAGACAAATGGGATTCTGAACCCACCACAATCGAGCCTGAGCGTTTCATTTCGTGGCTAGATGCATACGCCGAGGCCCTCAAGAAGTGGACAGAGGCTACACCGTTTTTGAAGGAAGGAGCCCCAGTCTCTCAGGCTCGTATTGCAGATCTCTGGGAACAAGTTAGCAACCATAGTGGGCTCCGCAAGCTTCCGATCGAGCTTCGTCAATGTATGACCAATACCATGCTGGCTTTTACAAAGGAAATAGTAGCCGAGGGACCCGGCGAGAATACACTGATGGAGAACCCTTCCTGGAAAGAACGTTGCTGGGACGGTCAGCCATGGCTGCCGCTGTTTGTTGACTGGGAGGTGGAGTACGTCAATATCCCCAGCAGAATGTGGCAACTGAGATACGATGATGACGGCTCAGTGCATTATGGCCTAGATACTGACCAGAAGCTATCGGATCTGACACTTGGTTCTCGCACATTTTCTGGACGAAGTATCCTACAGCCAAACGGCCAGAAGCTTATCCTGGGGCTCATTGATATGATGCACCGCACAGTTCCTGTCACATCAGGCGAGATGGATCCGGTAAAGGCCGTTGCAGAAGAGTTTCTCAAAGACCAGACTTTTCTCTTTGGTCGACTTGACGGGTTCACCGATCATCTCCTCACTCTTTGCCACGGAGCCCATACTATCCCCATGAGAGAGACGGTGTCTGACCCAGGAGAGGAGATCTTTTCCGAGCGAGAATATCTTGACATCTTTTACGGGGACCCAACGGACCTGTCACCAGGTGGCCTTGATGTTACCCCATACGGGACCTACCACGAGGGCTTGTCGTATGAGACTTTGACCAGCACTGATGCTGTGGATGACATTAATCGGTTCTTTCAACCGGTCACCCACGGCCAAGCACGACTTACCCAGTTCAAGATCGTTGACCGTTTCGGGCAGGTCATATGTGCCCACGATCCGCGACCAGAACAACCAAAAGTAACTCTATATCCTCACGTTGGCTCTTCGCTGCTCTGTGAATCAGGCGGTGACGATTTACCAAATACAGCATTTACGACCGAAAATGGAGCAGACGATTGTGAATGGTTTCAACTCGGTCCGCGGATCAATCAAGATGCTCGTATGCATGCTGAGTTCCTCTACGATGGAGCTGAAGGTGACACTGCGGTTTTTGCGTGGCTACTTATCAACTTTCACAATCAGTCTATACAGGTCTACGACAAGCATAGGGTTTTCAAGGGAGAGGCCATGCTTCCCGCTGGGCCCAACGAATCGGTCCATTGGCATTCCCTCATGGGGAGTGACATCCCTTCTGACATCCTTCCACATATGATGCGCAGTGAACATGACTTTCGACTTCAAGCTCGGCTGGATAAAGTCGACATCTCAACACTGAAAGGGTCCAAGCAGCCTATGTCGCTGGATGACCTAATCGTATCAATGTCACATGCACCTTTCATCATTGGGCTCTGGAAGACCATAATCGCTGCCCAGGATCACATTCAAGCACCGCCAGCCCAGCAATTCGCCCAGTTTCCCTCGGCCCTTGTTGGCCGTCCTGTTGCTCTCGCACATCTGTCATTGGGAATCGAACTTGCAACTCCACCTATGCAGAGTCAGGCCTATGCTGACTATGCTGAAGATGAGAATGAAAGTGTTTCTGGTGTTGGATTGTCTGAGGCCGGAGGCGAGGAACTCACTCAATACGAGTTTGGCATCAAGTTAGGCGACATGCTCGGTCACCAAGATGGATTTATCGGGTACTTCACAGCTCCAGAAGCTGGCCAAGCTTGGGATATTGTCACCGACTATGCCATTGACGGTGTGTCCTTACCAAACGTCAAGCACTCGGGTGATGCACCTCCTCTCACCGTGTCCCCCAGCTATCCGCCCGTGCTGTCTTCAGGTAGTTCTGAGCCCTTCGACATTACCCACGAGGCAAAGAATTACCAGAAGCGGAAAGCCGAGGCCTTACAATCTTCTCTCGTCACAGTATTCATGGATCCCTTCCTTCCAATCCACGTACGCTCAGGAATACTCCCTGCATCTCAAGCCCAGCTGAACCGCGACGATGTGGAGCGAGATCTTCAAAATCTCGGCATTTTGTTCCGCTCAGGACCAGTCATAATTGGATCCCGTGGCTCAGATCCTGTCTCCTCGCAGGACGGCAAAATGCGTATACAAGTTGTCGACGACGGGAACGGTCCGAAAGGCCCTCTTGTACCCGTGCATACCATGCCAACAACGACGTCTGGTGCCGAGTGGCAGTGGGTGCAGCCCGTGATGGATGAAGCTGAGGAGGAGAGAAATGATGATCCTTTGACTAGTGAAGTTAGATATGTGCATTTGGGTGTTACGAATCCATTGAAGGAGGGGTTCGATGCTACCGTCGGAGCGGACAATGAGAAGGCGAAGGAGGAAAACATTGAGGTAGCAGTTGCTCTGGATGGATACCTACTTCTCAGACCAAACAAGAAGGATAAGTAAGGCTATAGGAGAGCAAAAGTAAATTATAGCATGCATACAATGCTACGCCTACTCAGCCACCGTCATGCTACCTGCACGAACTCCCGCTGCTATTCTTCCGATTGAGTGAGGGGTGAGCCAGCAGCCCCATTGGACCAGTGAGAACGTCCTGCGCTCGCGTGCCACTGACAGCCATTCTACAAAACCAATTTACGACCATAGGCATCAGTGTTAATGTCACGACGAGCAACACCAGCAGCTTGCATAAGCCTCCTAGTGAACTCGATGCGCTCACTGCCTCGCATGATTGTAGGTCTTCGTTGCCACCCAATCTCCGTCGGCATACGCTCGTTCTCTGCAGGGCAGATACCTCATTAGTCTCAGCGTAGTAAGAGATACAAAGCAACATACTCAGCCAGTACTCGATAAACTTCTTCTCCACTGTGCCGGTGGTGCCGTCAGCCATGATCTCAAAGAAGGATGCCATCTCGCCCCAGCTGAAGCCATCAGCTAGCTTGGACAGCGAGTGCTCGGGGTTGGTCTTCTTGGATGTAGCTAGGCGGCCCATTCTGGCCTTGGCGACTGGTTCAACTGTCATCAGGTCGTCGGGAAAGTAGGTAAGGGATTCCTCCCACACGGTCTCATTGAATGGGTTCGGATCGGCAAAGAAGGCGTCGGAGCGACTACATAGCGAGGGTTAGTCCTTGCTGGGAGAGGAGAGCGGCATGATGTACCTGAGAGAAATGTCATGCTCAAGGATGTTGTGTCGACCAAGGTCAGCAAGATCGAAGCTACGGGTGTTGGGATACTTGGGGCTGGTCTTAATAGCCTGTGTGAATAGAATAACTGCATCCAAGTTCTCAATGTTGTAACCGGTAAGCATCCCGTCCTTGAGAATGTCGAGTGTGATGTTCTTGCCGTCGCGAGGGATGTACCCATGGTTAGCTAGAGTGTTGAGGCCAGGGCAGGGACCACGAGCTTTATCAAGGGTCAGTACAAGGTATAGAAGAGGCAAAGAGGCTCGGAGTAATCTGCCTCGTCGGCACTCACAGGCTCCAGGAGCTGGAGCGATCCACTCCTGAGGAACAAACTCGCGGGAGGATAGAAACCGAGGATGGGCAAGCGTGTGCACGACCGCACTGGCGATGGTTACCGATGCAAAAAACTTCATAGTGAACAATAAAGCTATGTTGTAGTAGATAGGAAGAAAACAAGAATAATGTGGAACTTATCGAATCTGTGAGTCTGTGACTCTTCAATGATAAAAGCGGCGCACCAGGCCGTGTCTTATAAACCCGTGTCTTCATGCATCGTCCGTCCAGGACACTTGCCTTTGCCCATCTTCGTTTCATCTACACAAGTTCACAATCTCTACACCGACAGAAAGAAGAAAAGAGGCCGAAACGAAAACAGCAAAGCATCGGCAGTGCCGAGATCCTCGGCTCAGCCAGTCTCATGGTTGGTAATGGTAGCAACGTTATTGACTACTTGAAATGCGACTGGCTGGTCTAGATCTGAACACGCTTCGCGATTATTCCCAGATGAAGTAAAGATGCGGTTATGCTTATGCTCCATGTTTGGTTTATATTGAAACGTCTAATTGCTCCACTAACAAGTCCTAAATCTTTTACCAAAGCCCAAACGCCAAGACAAAGAAGCAAGTGTCCCTTGGAAAATAACCGAGGCTGAGGGAAATTTCTAGGACTTCGGCATATGGTTATTTCATCGAGTAAACAACACAACTGCTGGCGCGCCGATGGCTTTAGTTTCACTCCGATAAATACACCAGTCTCGCCTTCCAGGCCGGAGTCAATCGTTAGCAATTGCGTCTAGGCCAAATTGAGGTTTCAGTTCTGAATTGTGCCCTAAACTCAGCCACACTGCTTACTTGTTCCAGAAGTGGGGACTCATGATAAGGACAAGCCGAATGAATTGCTCCTAGCAGCCTTTAAGAAGTGGCCATGGCTGCGGGGTTCGCAGAGATAACTAGGAGTCGTTAACAACCGGAATTTATAAAGTATTTACCTTATATGTCGTAATTATTTATGTTATGAGAAGACTCCAGTATGTTAACGTAGTGTAGTAAAAGCCCTCACAATAGCTAACAAGACCAAACAGCCAACACAATAGATAAGTCTCTATGTCTACCATACTTTCAGCCAGCGGCGACAGTGCCGTCACCACCTCTTATAACCAAACCCAAAGCCAGGGCAGCATGACTATAAAGCCCCCATCTGCCACTGATCTATCCGCTTGGATTTATTTGCCTATGTTTGGCAGCATTCCGAACAAGTGCCTTCACCAGCTCACGGTTGATTTTACGTCGAAATCTACAACTGTCAAGACTGTGGCGGTGTACCATGGCAGCGAAAAGGTATTAGAGGAGCGGGAGCTCGGAAGGAGTGAGGCTTTTAGTGTTCCTGTTTCTTCTCGGGAGATTAGTACCACAGACGAAGGGCTCACGGTCTCGATCGAGGTGGAGTTTGAGACGGTTGAGGCGTGGCTGTCTCTTAGGTCTGTCTCTATTTCGTTTTGAGTGTAGTTATTAAGAGTTCCTTTATAACAACCTATTACTTAAAGCCTATTTTAGTAAGTCCGTGACTTACTAGTAGCTATGTTCAAAGTGCCTATGTATGGTGAAGATCTTTCGTCACACATTCGCGTATTGGTTTTCCTCCCCCGCCTCATCTCACTAATTCTGATCTCCTCATTTATCGGGCATCAGCTTGGGGTCCGTATAAACACAGTTAGCCAAGTCTCGGTTATCTGCTACTTAGATCCACGGCCTAACTCGTGTAATATATGCCCATCCCTCCGTTTGAGTTGATAGTCCCCCCAGTCGTGCTATATATGAGTAGCTCAATCACTAGTAACTACGTTCAGTAGGAGCTTCTTCGTTCCGGTCATCATGCTGCTCGCGCTAACTCCTCATATCCAAGACCGACGATATTGGTCTCCTCTGTGGTAGCTTACACCGCCTCCTTTTAACACGCTCTCCATGGCTATCGCGGCGGGGCTGAGATAGCGTAAGGACCAAGATCATGGTGAGATTAGAAAGGGTTTCTATAAAGCCCGCGATCTCAGCAGTCTTTGATCCGCTTACACGTTTACATTGGCAGTGCAAGCTACAGAGCACATCAATTCCCTCGCATAAACAAAGAGCAATCCAGACATTCCTCTATCTCTTTCTCGGCATTCTTAAGCCTGGGAAACATCAAATGGCTTCGGCCATCACTGGTCGCTAGGCATACAGCGAGGTTCAGGTATGTTGGAAGTCAGCTCTAGTCCTTCCGAGCTCCGGGACGCGTGGGTTACGTCAAAAATGACGAGGCAGTAAAGACAAATGGTCTGGCCGGGCAGTGTACACTCATGACGGGGCTTTTTATTGGCGAGAAGTCAAGATTGCGCCTGTTTGCGTATAAATGAGGCTGTGTGACGAATTACACATGCTCCAGAAAGTGTCGCTACGTAGAGAAGAACAAAAGCACTTCAAATGATGCCTCCTTCAGCGCAAACAGCGGGGCGAAACCCAATTCTTTAGCGCATGATTGGTCGCTTCGCTTCTTCCTTAGCGAGTGCGATAGTGGGCAGTGCCGTTAACCGTTTCTCGATACGTACGCCAATGTCAATGACGTCAAGACCCTGATCATCGATATCCAGCACCGAATCTCAGATCCCGTTATTTCCATCAACTGTCTATCAATTCATCTTAATAACCCATTGTTGAAGCTGTTTTTGTTATAGAGAATGCATCAATCTAACGAACCAGATAATTCCTTGGCATCACCACCACCAAAAACACCACCGGATATACCACCTTTCTCTGCAAGATCAATGGCCGACGTCGGTACCGATTCCGGGAATCTCTTCCGTCTAAAAGATGTGCTCACTTATTTCGCCGCTGTCAAAGGGGACCTGTCAAACGTCACCGCCCCTCCCTTCATTCTCGCCCCCAGGTCAGCCATTGAGATTCCAGCTGCTTGGGCTTGTCATCATGATCTCTTTCTTCAACCTGCCGATGAACCTGATGCTGGAGTGAGGGCTCTTTTGCTGGCAAAGAACTACATCTGCAGTCTCAAGCAACTCGTCAATGCGGATTCCCCGGATGCCGCCAAGAAACCATTGAACCCGTTCCTTGGTGAATTATTCCTCGGCTCGTTTTCTGACAAGTCTGGATCGAAATCGGAACTCGTCATTGAGCAGGTGTCTCATCACCCGCCTGTCACAGCATGCTCTGTATTTAACAAGGAGCGCGGTATGTCATCGATTGGCTTCGCGGGCCAGGAAACATCCTTCAGCCTAGTCAATGGCGTCACCGTGCGTCCAACAGGATGTGCCATTATTCAAGACCATAAGCATAATGAGCAAAGTCTCATGACCATGCCTACAATATTGGTCAAAGGCGTGACGACCGGGAACCCATATCCAGAAATGGAGGGTCCAGCCTATATTGCCAGTTCAAGCGGCTACTTGACCAAAATCGGATTCCATGGCAAAGGAAGGCTTGGGTACGGTCAGAAGAACCAAGTGGTCGCCGAAGTATTTGCCCCCAATGACAAAGATCACCCGTTATATCGTATCACGGGCCAATGGACGGGCGAGATAAAGGTCCAAGACTCATCAAAGACGACACTAGAGGAATTCCACGTCGACAAGATCCCAATCTCACCTCTCAAGGTTGCGCCTGTAGAAGAGCAAACACCATTCGAGTCACGTCGGGCTTGGTTCAAAGTTACGCAGGCTATCAAGCAACATAACATTGAAAAGGTGTATGCCCACAAGAGCACATTGGAAGACTCGCAAAGAAGGAGACGCGTTGAAGAGGAGAGAACGGGCAAGCAATGGAATCGCTTGTTTTTTACTCAAATCCCCAAGGGTGACGAGACGCTTGAGTCTTTAGTGTCAAAGATTCCTGAGAAATTAAGTATACTTGATTTTACAAAGACAGGTGGTGCTTGGAGATTTATCGGCGCTGATAGAGCGGAGGAGGTGAAACGGCATTTGAGCCGTGACAGTTTACCATAGCGTTGTTATAAGCATATAGTATTAATAATAGATTATATTGCATGGGTACGTCTACTGCCAATCCTAGCTGATGAAAAGCCAGAAGCTGCATCTGACGATCCAAGCCGTCCTTCATTTCACATTAGATCTTGTCAACGTGCTCTCCAGTCTCGTGCTGAGCAGCAAGCTTCTCATCAATAGCCTCAGCCCTGCGAGCGAGATCAGCCTGCAGGTTTGCAGTGTACTCGCTCTTGTCGACGAAGGGGATGAACCAAGGAGCATTGGTGAAGAGATAGTTCATCTCTTCCAGAGGAAGCTGCTTGGTCTCGGGGACGAAGGCCCAGACGCAGAGGGCGTTTGTGAAGTTGCAGATAACAAAGACGAGGTAGTATTTCCAGCCAACGGCTCCCATGGCAATACCAGTCACCTGGCCAATCATGGTGTTGAACGCGAAGGAAGTCATGGTCGCGAGTGAGACGCCCTTGGCACGGGTGCGGGTATCGAAGATCTCGGCGGGGATGATCCAAGAGAGAGGTCCGCAAGTGGCTGAGAAAGAGAAGTTGTATGCCCAGGTAACGATGATGAATCCCCAACCTTGAGCAGCACTGCCGGAACCGGGAGGGTAGACAACGAGCATGATGGTGGCGATGATAAAGGTGAGCATGTTGAACAGGTTACCCCAGATAAGAGTCCATCGGCGACCGAAATAATCAATGAAGGCAATGCAAAGAGCCTGGGCGATCAGAGCAATAATGGAGTTAATAGCCTGATACTTGAGCGCATCTCCAGGCCCAATTCCAGCTTGTCCATAGATAGTCACAGAGTAGTACTGAATGGCAGACACACCCGTCATTTGAATCGACGCCTGAAGACCGCAAGCGATCAAAAGACGACGGAAGCAAGAAACATCCCTGAAAAGCTCGAGGTACGACTTGGCACCGTTGGCATGCTCATCGGCAATGCTTTCCTGAATCTGCTCGATCTCCGCACGCACCCAGGGATCGTCCTCGTTGCCGTTGGAGTGGAGGCGAGCCAGGGTCTTGAGCGCGTCGTCCTGCTTACCCTGGTCCATAAGCCAGCGGGGAGACTCGGGGAAGACAAAGATGAGAGCACCAAGGATAACGGCGGGGATGATCTGGATGCCCAAGGGGATGCGCCACTGTCGGTTGTCGCTGAAGTTTGTGAATGTGCCCCAACCGGTCCACGAAGCGATAAGAGCTCCGATTCCCAACATGAATTGCTGGAGAGCTGTGACTCGACCTCGGATGGAAGGGTGTGCAATCTCAGCTTGGTATAGGGGGATGATCATGGTCAAGAAACCGACGCCAAGACCAGCGAGGAAGCGACCGGCCATGAGGTATGAGATCTTGGGAGCTCCAGTCTGAAGAGCGCCTCCGAGAGTGAAGATTATAGAACCAATGGTAATAGTCCATCGTCGGCCGGTGTATTCGGTTGTAGGTCCAGCGAACATGGCACCAAAGAAGGCACCGGCGGTGAAGAGCGCTACTACAGCACCACTGCAAAAGTCAGTATCTCGAACAGTCTCAATGGGGGAATTGGCGAACTTACGTATCGGCAGCTGTGTCGCTAGTGTCGAACTCTCGGTGATAAGAAGGCGAGGCAATGACCTGGGCGATAACACCCAAATCATAGCCAAAGAGCAGCGATCCAAAGGACGCAAACACTCCGACGAGGAACTGGTAAACCTTGGGCTTCATGATGACTGCTTGAATGATATGCAGACTGATGGGTATGAAGTGATCGACAGGAGGGGGATTTCAAGGGCTTTTAATACTTTTCATCAACGACCCAGAAGCTTGGAGCTACAGAGTAGCGTCGCCCTTCTCGCGCTCCAATGACTGATGGTACCAGCGATAGCAACCCCAGAACTCAATGCATTTAGCGTAAAATGTCCCCATGGGGAATGGGGGCACGCAAACGACCCTCGCGAAAAAAACACGAAACAGTGCCGAAGACACGCTAAGGGAGCAGCCCTGCCAGCCCATTAACAGCGCGTGACATCTCGATAGAAGCGCTTCTTCATGATTGGAGCGCAAGACAGCATCTTAAGCTAGATGTTAATGGTGAGAGAGGAATGCCAAGCTAATGCGGAGAAGAGCAACCCGCGTATTGTTAGCATGGGTTAAGGTCGGGTTGTTTGCCGGATTTGTGGTGCGGGGTTTCAGCTGACATGTTTGGGGGGGCGCTATGCTGCTTTTATCGTCATGTCCGGGGGAGGAGTCGATGCGGAATCGTGCCGACGTGAAATGGTTTGTAAAGGACAGGGCTGGTCTTGGTGTGATGCCAGGTTGATGCATCCGAGGTACGAGCATGTGGATGACTTTTGCATGCAAGGGAGATGGGATGAAATTTCATGATCTGAAGTTCGTGATGGAGAGAGATCGTGAAATGTCAAAGTGCTTGCTTATATGCCAAGATTTGATAATGAATGAGGCTACAAAATAGGAGGTGAGTATTTGTACTGGTACTCTGATTAAAGAAAAAAGTTATATATGCTTAAAGACTGGGCCTAATGAGGATGCGCACATCAGACCCAGAGAGCAAAGCTTGTTCTCGTCGCGTGGTTAATGTGAGTTTACGAGGAGTTGCTGGCAAAGATGGATTGACAGTGCCGATCTCGATTGTTGACAGTTTCAGATCATTTGCACATCATTTTCATTGCTAGAATAATTTGCAACCGATAATCCTCAGTAAGAATTGATCTGTCTTGTGCCATCGCGTCACATTCAGCCAATTAATTCATCAGTGTTTCCATACAGGGTAGGCAATCCTCTGTAACGCACTCGACCAGTTCGGGCATATCCCAGTATGACACGTTATTCCCGAACAGTACGTGCCACTAACTCGCATTCATGCATTCAGTCTGGAAGAGCTTGATTGGTTAAAGTAGCCCCGCATCTGCTTTATCGATAAAGAGATGTGAAGTGATCTTGAAATAATGAGAACGGAAGTTCTTCCCGATGAAACATAATCTTGCAATTGTTACCTGCTTCGGCACATGTCTTTAGCAGTTTATCGCCTTATCTTATAGTAATGGAAGAATTATACGTACTTTTGACATATCGAGGTATATGACGGCATGTTAACGGCGGTATTATTCTGAAATAAGCGCGCGCCTAGCTGCAGTGTTACAGCAACAGATTCTTCCAATCAGCATGGCGGGAGTCGTGTCATATCATGAGCTCTACACCACAGCTGAGATATTATATGACATAATCACCCGCCGTGACCCCTCTTGTTGCTGTGAAATGAGCAAGATCTCGAATTAAGCCTATGGTATCCTTCGTATTATTATGAGTCTTTGCAAAACCTGTCAAGAAGCGTTACCTGACTTCCCATCCTCAGCTGCGGTTGGCGATGCCCCCGTTATCCATGACGAACCATCATCGAAGCCATGCACATGGCAGAAGAGAAGAGACCCCAAACAATCATCGAAAGCACAATGGTCCATGAAAGGAAGTTTCTCACTGCACTCGTCTTGGGAGACGCTTGTGGCGTCCTTGCAAGCTGACTGTCCTCTCTGTTGGACCTGTTGGCGGGTGATTCGATCATCGCCAATTGCATCACCAAGCGATGAGAGAGTCGCTGACTTCCAAGCAACGATCACGTACGCTCATTTCGATATCGGGGATGACTTCTTCAACCTTTGGGTCCGTCTTGAGGGCACTGGATTGAAGGCGACGAGGATTCGGCTGAATATCACAAAGACATCAAGAAAAACCTTTGAGGGTGAGTGATAAAGTCACTATTAGTATAGCCGGTGGGGAGTCGACTAAATTAGCATAGATATAGAAAGAAAGAATCCCATTCAAGCCCAACATACTGCTCAATCGGCCGCCGAGGTAGCGAATCGGTGGATTAGTGTCTGTGACAAAAATCACCCATCATGCCTGGCTCGAGCGACACCACCTTCAGATGCAAAGATGCCCACACGATTACTTGATCTTGGCACAGGCGATTCGACAACTTGGCGCATAATTGAGACTCAGCAAGAACGATTTCCTTACGTTGCGCTCTCGCACCGATGGACTGAGAACACCCCGACGCTCTTGCAAAAGAACTACGACGCGTACTGCGACTCTCAGCCAGATAGCATCTTGCCACAGAACTATAGGGACATGCTTGATATATGTCGCGCGATGCCAATCCGATATATATGGATTGACTCCCTTTGCATTATACAGGATGACAATGGTGCCGATTTCCGCCATGAAGCTCCCATCATGCTCGATGTCTATCGCTATGCTTTCCTGACTTTGATGATACTGTGGGAGTTCTCAGACTCTACTGTCTTTCGTCACTGCCGGCCAAGTACTATAGCCCGACCTCGGCCGCAATCCTACAAGCGCTCTGCATTAACAGAGACGGGCCAAGATTCCTTGTTCACTTATCTTAAGAACCTTGTTTATCCAGGAGCACCTGTGGCAAGCCAAGATTCAGTGTCCAATGCCAAGAAATACGCATTTGTGAGAATAGAAAACACTGGAAGCTACAATTTCGATGTGAATAATGCGCCCATCAACAAAAGGGCATGGGTTCTGCAAGAGAGATGCCTGTCACGACGTATTCTCTGCCTCGGAAACGAGGAGCTGTACTGGGAGTGTGACGGCGACTCTTCGGGCCCGCTCATCGCAAACGAGACCTCCCCTTCTGGTGTTCCGCACATCTCACGCCGCGAAGGCCTTGGTAGTCTTACATGCAGTGATAACGGCGAGTATTGGAACTTACTTGTTGAGCAGTATACCGCTTGCCATCTGACATTCGAGGAAGATAGGCTTGTTGCCTTTTCTGGGATTGCGAGGGCTGTAGCGAAGTCGACTGGTGATACTTATCTTGCTGGCATATGGCTTGAGACATGGATGCAAGACCTCCTCTGGGTGCCGGACAGAGTAAGGGAACAACCGGCTCGAGTGAAGCCTACCACAATGGACACGCAGAGCATGAGACTGCCTTCATGGTCCTGGCTAAGCTTTTCTGGATCAATTATCCCTGGCCTATTGGTAGGCAATGGCGAGGGCCCGAGAATTTCCCTGACAGAACCGAATTCCTTCAAATCGGACAGATTTGACTGCCTGGCTCTACTTAGCCAAACGACCGTTACACCACCAGATACTGACCCTTATGTTTCCTTTCATCAGGCCATTCTCCAGGTCAGATGTCTCCTCATTCCCGTGGAACTGACCGGAATTACGGCTATGCACATGTTACCACCATCCTTCAGGATGACTCAGAACATTGAGTTCAATTCAGCAGGCCTAGATTGCCTGAACCTGATACCATGCGGAGAGAAAGAAGATGACCATGCTGTATTTATCTTGTCATTCAGCAAACCATTGAACGAACATTCTCGCTACTTCTTTATCCCGCTATTCCTACGTAAGGATAAGTATCAAGAAGCTATTAAGTTCGGCCCTGACGACAAAGAGGGCCATGGAATCATTGTAGAAGAGACAGTTACAGACGACGAACGCCACTTTATCAGAGTTGGGAGGTGGCAAGAAGATATGACCTTGCCTTCTCAACTTGGCCCCTTGATCAGCAACACCATCGTACAACAAAGAATCGGTGAAATGGTTGATAACAGCGCCAAGGATATCACCGCGCTGGAACGGAGCTTTGACACAAACATGCACGAATATGCTGTACGGCATGCTTCCTCGATGATCAACTTTCCCAGAAATTCTACAAGTCAACTGGAACAAGACGGAGTGAATGATAAAGAGCAGAATGGCACTGGCGCAAGTGAAGACGGGCAGTTCGATGAGAACTTCGAAGGGAAGGTTCAAGAGGAGAAAGAACAGATAATGGTCGATTCTGTTAAGTGTGCAGACTTACCTTACTTTTCGAAAGCCAAGTGGTCTTCTATCTCTTTAGTATAATTTGCTAACTAGACTTTAAAGTTGTATTTCTCAGTATAATGAAATACTGCTCCGATCTGTTCAATTGCTCCCGTCTTAGTTCCACCCCTGTGGTTATGTACTCCATACAGATAGTCCAGCCGACACCCCGTCCCATCTGGATGTCCACCTTCGTCCCGATGCCCCATGCGAAAGGTATCCTTATCTGATGGACTGCCGCCATTCTCGCTGTTTACACCTCCGCCGATATTCTTGTCCGATTTGACAAAGAACTACAAGCCTTGAACATATGTATGAGCAGTCCCTGAAAAGTAGACGACAGATTCGTTGGGTGCAATTTCAAGAACGTGTCGAGTACCGCTAGCGGAACCTCGCAGTCCGCTACTATGACCACCATACCATACCTCAAGGCCCTCAACATCGTTTCCAGAATAGAGGTCGATACGAGTGATGCGGCCGAACTTGGTGTATTGTTCTACATCATCCCAACACTCCATGTTCATTGAAGAGCCATCACCCCAGGGTCCTCCAAGAATCGAGACATTTATTTTCACTGGCTTGCATTCTTCGGGAGTGCTGTACCGGAAATTATCCCAATGGTATATAGGTGCTAAAACGTCGTCAAGTTGTCTTTGGTACTCGACTGTAACCCAACGGATCAGGTTACGAGAGAGTTTTTGTTGGTCACCCCGTTCATCTATGAGCTGACCAACGCCTCGAAAGTATTTGAAACTGGCAGTGATTGAACGTAAAGGGTCGTGAACGGTTGTGGTGGCTGAGTCTCCGAATGACTTGACCAATGTCCATTCCTCGCCGTCCTGTACCTGATTGCGACGCCATTTCATGCAGTCCTGTCGTATAATAGATGCCATCTGTGAATATTCGGCAATGGACTTTTCCAGGGCAGCCCTGAACCCCACGAGATCGTGTTGGTTGGGTTCGCGCTTTGTTATCTCCGTATATCGATAAGATCGATCTCTCAAGACAGCCAAATGCATTGTAGCCATTGTGACAAAATATGGGAGCGTTTTTGCAGGAGAATCCGTGTCGCAATAGAATTCCCTGTTTGTGGTAAACCAGACCAGAAGGGCGTTCAGCCACTCCGCCTTGTCCTCCCCGGGTGACAGAGCGTCGTACTGTCTGTATGCATCCACAAGACCCCTTGTCTTTTTCCTGAGAGTTTCGATGCTTTTTTGATCTATCAGATCCCGAGCGAAGTCCTTCAATCCTTCCTCGAGAGCGCGCATCGCAGCTGATGTCTCATCGAACAAGTCGGGCCAGATCAAGCCCGCGATCCCAGTGATAAGCCCTCCCCCTTCGACCATCGAAAGTCCCTGAACTATCCCCGAGATAATCAACTTGCCAACGTCAATGCCAGCAAGAAGGTTTGGGCTTGGACTAGAATTTTGCTGGAGGACGCCGGCTGTAGAAATGACCTCAGCTGAATCAGCCCTGAAGAACATTTTCCCCTGTTGTTTTGATGAATACACGCCCCAATCGCCGTTGTCGTTGAGCATCACATATGCGTCACGAGAATCCCGGCCACCCGTTTTTGTGGACCAGGCAACTTCTCTTCCAGGCCGACTCTGGAAAAGAACCAGGTCGCCATCTTCTTGCATGATTAGCTCAGTGGCGTTTGGGTGCGTTTCGCGCCACGTGTGTGACGCCCATTGAGCCGCCATTACCTCCTGGCCGTTGAAGCCTGTCGAAAGTCGGTATAGCACAAGGTTCCCATCTTTTTGAACCTGGAGCTTGAACCGGTTGTTGGTTGAAATGAGAAAGCTTCCAGCTGTAAGCGTTTCTCCCACACAGAGAGTATTGTTTGCCATGGTGGTCAGGTATTCGAACTTTTGTTTAATACAGTAAGTGTGTTTGTAGAGTGGAGAGCCTAATAATGATACTGAGGATTGGAGACCTTAATTTATACTCCCAGTTCTGGCTGGCTTCCGAAATCCGGACATATAACATGTTATGCTGATAAGGGTCACATACCCTTGCTGTAGTCTAGACCGACCGAGCTGGCTAGAAGCAATAGTAAACAGCTAGTTACCACTAGTTATAGAGGTCAAGCAATAGTCCGGCTAGGAATGCAATGCTATTCGCTTGTTTGTGGGAAGCCCAAGGCTTAACCTTCAAATTCATGGATCGGGCTTGCGTAATCAAAAGAAATTGGTATTCTAACAGTTAGTTTAATGGCTCTTGTGGCTGGCTGGAAAAAGCCGATGGGCCGATGTTGGATACATCTAGCTTGATTTGGGATAGAGAGTCCGTTTGCTATTGCAGACCGCGTGTACTAGTTGGTCACTTGTGCAGGGTGCTTGCATGCTATCTACTCCGTACAGACACCTGAATTGATACTAAGATAACTCCTATGCTGATGGCCATCGCCTGATAATAGTTACTCAGTTTGTTACAATGTTACTAATTGGATAATAATAATTGACCTAATCTCAATGCCTACGTACGTTGTTAAGATCGTCCTAGCAGTCCCATCAGCGCTTCTTCAGTATCGTAAGCATTCAACAACTCCGCCCTAAGCTTCTCAATTTCGTCCTTGTGGTCCCTTCTGACGCCATCCAACATACCCTTCGCGGGGCCAATAAGGTGAGCGTCGCTGAGCTCCATGACAACGGCCATGAGCACCAAGCTATCTCCCATCGCCGCGAGCTTGCCGTCTGCATCCAGCCCGTTCATGATCTTCAACAGCCTCTCAAAATCGGCATCGCCTGGTTCAAGGATAACTCGCAATACAGCTCCTCCGTCGCCATTGACGAGGTACTTGTGAAAGAGGTTTGGTGTGACAGTCTGAGGCTTGCCCACTTCTAGCGGCTGGGCAGAAGCTTCCAAAGCTTCCATGTTGGGATCACTGCTTTTATAGACAGAAATAGACCCTTCGATGAGATCGAATGTCTCTGAGAAACGTGTATGGAAGTGAGGCGGCACAGTGGTCCCTGGAGTCATTGTTTCAATAAAGATGGTGCGCTTGCCATCGTTGAGGGTTGTCGACTCCTCGAGCCGAAAGCGGCGTTGATCCCAGCGACGTTCTGATGACATATTGATGGACAAGAGCGATGATAGAGAGAGTAAAGAGTAATAGTAACTATACGATTTCTAATAAAACGATTTGCTCAGTCCGGACTCATGTTTAAATACTCGACTTCACTTCGTAATGCTGACTGCTTATTCAGCGGCTCATCAGCTACTAACCCCGCCGCGTTACGCCCCTTTGGGGTTAGTGATTATGAAGGATTCAGATCTGCGCCATGAGATATCTTATCTAGCCGCAATCACCGATTAGATAGCTTAACTAGCATTTCTCTATGAGTCCTGAACTTCCTGGAGAATTGACAATGCGGATGCTACTTTTGTTACAATCCAAAAACTAAGCTAGCGCATATTTGGGATAGTATAGTGCCAGCTGAGATATTCTGTTGATTGTGAAACTACAAAAGTGGAGCTTGGGCTGCCAATCAAATATATCGAAAGTAAAGCGCGCCCTACCTCGACCGTCCTCGTTATCAGACATTCAGACGTTTCCAACTACATGCCCCAACGTGATTGAGGTATATATCTTCAACACTAACAGCTATGCATGCGGCATTACTTCTCATACTCGCGACTCTCTATGGGGTTGTGCGTACCAGCCTTATCAACCTTGGCGCGACGGTGACTGTCAATGGAGTCTATTACTTTGTCCACCCTGAGCCGGTGGCAGTCCTCCCGTTATCTTCTGGTCTCCGCCCCCATGGACATGCCGACTTTGTCCCGGTGACGATATTTGAGGCAACGGATAACCGATTTGATGAGTCTACTCTCAACCACACTGTCAACGCCTGGCTTGCTGAGGATGATGTTTTTAATAAAGGGTTCTTACAAGGTACGTTATTATTCACTTAGAATTGGAAGTATGCACTCACACCTGTAGCAATCTACGTAAAGAAGGACTCGAATGATGTTCCCGGTCTATCGAACTACCAATATCAAGGCAACACGTCGTCGTTGTCGTGGCAAGAAATCGACTACTCTTTTAACGCTCCCACCGGTCCTTACATCTTGAACCCCTCAACAGGTTCTCTACATACTCCATACCGCCTTTATCTCGATACTCAAGGCGCCTTCACCCAGGGCATCATACCCCTCTCGAGCGGATCTTTCGCTCCACTCCCCGCTGCACTTCCTGGCTCATCATCAATAACAATTGGCGTTCCCTCAAGACTTTACTACACTCCAAGTGAAGAATACCCGCTCGCCGGTGTTCGCATCGGCGTTAAAGATATTTATGACGTTCATGGCCTCAAGACTGGAGCTGGAAGCCGCGCCTACTATGACCTCTACCCCGAAGCCAATGGCACTGCACCTGCAGTACAGCATCTGGTAGATGCCGGAGCAATCTTGGTTGGCAAAATGAAAACAACGCAATTTGCTGCACCTGAAAGCGCCAGAGATGCCATCGACTATCAGGCGCCATTCAATCCCAGAGGCGACGGGTATCAAGAGGTTGGATCCTCCTCATCTGGAGCGGGGGCGGGTATGGCTTCCTACCATTGGTTGGATCTGGCTTTGGGGTCAGATACGGGAGGGTCTATTCGGATACCAGCCGAGGATAACGGAATTTTCGGAAACCGCCCCACGCATGGTCTCGTGGACTTATCGCGAGTTATACCGTTGGGACCTGAGTTTGATACAGCTGGGTTCTTGGCTCGCGATACAGAGACTTGGGCGACTGCTTGCAGGGTCATGTACTCGAATCTTACAACGGGCTATACTCGGTATCCGAAACGAGTCCTTACGTACGACCTTCCCTTAGCCAAAGATGCTGACCTTTCAGACTCGGACCGCATTGTCGTCCAATTCGTTGACAGTCTAGTCAAGCTTCTCTCCGCCGACCTCTCAGCCTCTAATTTCACGGAAGAGTGGTCTCACAGTCACCCAGCAGGTACGCCGAGCGACTTGCAGGAGTTTATCGGTTCGGCATGGGCAGTGATTTCAGCCAAACAGCAAACGCGCCTTGTTCGAGATCCATTCTTTAAGGACTATGCAGCTGCGTTCGATGGACGTGTGCCGTTTGTCAATCCCTCCACGAATGGTAGTTGGAGCTGGTCCGACACTCTGCCTGAGCTACTCGACGAAGCAGTCGCAAACAAGACCATTTTCAAGACTTGGTGGGGTGAGGTCATGCTCCCAAAGAACGGTGAAGCATGTTCAGAAAGCCTTATGCTCTATGCTTTCAAGGATGCTACACCGGAATATAGAAGTGATTACGGTAGCGCTATGGGATCTGGTGGTTTGACTGGTGTTCTGCTAGGCCTGAATGCAGGCTTCATCTCACCAATGGTAGGGAATCCGGACTTTTCTATTCCAATTGGTCAAGTCAAGTATGATAGCAGTATCACCAAGCATGCGGAGTATCTGCCGGTCTCTGTCAGGATCATGGCAGCCGAGGGATGTGATGGAATGCTGCTTGATCTTGTTAACGACCTTGTTAAGGCTGACATTTTACCACAAGTTCAGCCTGGGAATAGTCTATAAGTCAATTACTTTATTCAAACTGTAGTAAGATAAGAATTACATAGCATAGCCAAAAGTTGAACTACTTTGTATCCCTAATTGGAGTTTGACGTTAAATAGGGAGCAGGATTACAGGGTAACCAAGTTATGGAAGGAAGTGGGGCTACCACCAATCACATCCACCAAAAGTGTCCGCTCCGCCCCGCGGCGTGGATTCATTCCCATGCTTTTCCCCTTGGCAAAAGACCTCGGCAGAGAACCTTGATGGCCGCACCTGTCGCCAAAAAAACCAACCAGCAACGCAAACACGACACGCTACTATATATGATCTGCTCCTACCTAGTCTAGTAGGCATGAACCCTCAAAGTATAAGTGACAAGAGCCAGCACCGCGCCTGCGATCCCTGCCGTCAGTCTCTTTCTCTTTCCCCTCTTTGTACTCCATCATCAGCTGATGAATGAATGACGCATAGGCAAGCGAAAAGTCCGATGTTCTCGCCACACTCCTTTATGCGAACGATGTTCTCACTTTGCTTTGACGTGCGAGTACTCTCCTATGAGGACTATAGGGAGGCCCAGGAGGGGACAGCCGCTGGGGTATAGAGCGAATGGCCTGGCGGGGACGGCTGCGTCGCCCGAGGTTATGGATACGGGGAACTTTGCTGGGATTATGGATCAGTTTCTTGATGATCTGGGGACGCCGCTGCCGTCTTTTGATATGGGCTTTTCGACCGAGCAGGATAATGCTCAAAGACAGGAAGACTTGCCGTCTGATTTGTTTGATGGGGCGGCGATGCAGCAGGACCAGAACGGCATGTACCCAGGGACCGCCGAGAAGCCCATGGATGTCACACCGACGTCTCAAAACCCTGAGAATCTAACGACTCCAGGGACCTCTTCTCAGAAATGCTCTTGCATCGAGCTGGTCAACCAGCATTTCTCAGATATCGAGCGCTCACTCGAGACTTTCCAGACCCTCAAAGTTTTGAAGCAGTCTCTCGCGTCAGCAAGAACGATCCTTGAGTGTACAGTCTGCTTCCAATCCATCAAGAGCCCGCGCACATCACGAAACGTCTATCTCCTGGGCTCTCTACTATCCAGCATCGGCTCCTCATACGGCGACTTTTTCTACGTACAAAAGCAACGGACCGAGTCATCGGTATCTGGTACACCGATCCGCCTTGTCGTCGGACAACAACCAGATGCTCGGGATGTTGTAGAGCTTTCTCTCGAGGGGCCGAGCTACATTGCCTTTCTACAAGCGAGTCTGAAAGGAGAGTTGGATTGTCTTGTGAAATTGGGTGAAGGATTGGCGACGAGACAGAGCCAGCTCCATACCGAAGGTCACGAGAACTGCGAGACGGGGACGAGCTGTTCAAATACTGAGTCACTGCCGACGACGAAACATCCAACCGAGGTGTGTCCGAAGGAAGTTGACATGACGACTGCTTGTGCATGCTTCAGGACAGTCGATCAAGTCAAGGCCGCAATAGCAGAGGCGCAACGAATCATCTCTGTGTGATGATACGATTGCGTTTACGATTATGACTTATGAATATCCGACAAGTTTTTAGCAATATACCCAATGCTTGTCTCCCTCATTAATTCCCTCCTCTGCCAATGACGTAAATGTTATCGTGAGGTTATCCTTAATAAGTTGCACAAAATGACTGATTGGAAAAGTCCCCGCGCCTCCTGTTTCACAGTCTAAAACGGTTTAGTGAGGAGAATCGCGGCGCGGAAACGGAGCGCGGAGACTTTGAGCGGCGGTGGAGCTGGCCGCGGAACACGAAGAAACAGGTTCAGCATGAGTTGCGACTCACGATGTTTTGAGTATTTAACTAAAATGAAATTCTTTCCAGTTTGAGTTTCTCTAAAGTCACACCTCGTATTATACCTTACTACTCCCTCACGAAAATCATACTTTTTAAGAAACCATGGGTGCATCTTGTTGCGGGTCTAAGGCTGAGCGTGTTAGTGCTGGCGTGGAGGACCATGGCCATCAGCATACTGATCATGGAAGCGACTCTGCTACGGTTGAGCACGATAAACCCCATGACAGTCACCACGGGCATGCGCATGCCAACACTGATGAACACGGCCCCGAACATGGACATGGAGGATGCTGCGACGGTCACTCCGATGCTTCTAGTATTACCTCCCAGGCCTCAACTTGCTGTGGCAGCGAGGAACACTGCAGTGGTAAGTCCCCTTCACCCTGACCGAAACAACCTTGACCCCTCTCTAACACTCGTGTTTACCGTAGAGAAATGTATCTATGCCATTGCCGCCATCGAGTGCAAGAAAGCTTGTGACGACGATCCAGACCACGAAGGTACCTTACCACTATAGCACACCATGACTACCCAACTAACAGGTACAGGCTCACAGGACCAGCCCCACGAACACGACAATGGGCTTCACAAAGCCGACACAGCCTGCGGTACCCATCTCGAAGCTGCATTCAACCAATACAGCAGCTATCTCGAACAAATCCGCTGCATCTGCCGAAGCGCCATCGAGCAGGGAATGACGTCCCTTGAAACATGCTGCATGAGCACCCGAGCGACCCCAGACAAGAAGCATCGAAACAAACATGGAAAGAAGAAGGCTGCCCCTGTTATCCCCGCTTTCAACCCCTCTGGAACAGGGAGTAAGCAGGTTGACGTTGAGAACGCTGCGAATCTTGAGACAGTTGGGTTTCTTGTTAGTGGTATGGATTGCACCTCTTGCGCAGACAAGTTGCTGCGTATCTTTGGTAGTATGACTGGTGTTTCCAATGCTCAAGTCAACTTTGTCATGGGCAAGGGAGAGTTCGACGTTGATACATGCATCACTAATGCTGAAGAAGTTCTCAGCTTTGTATCTGGGGCAAGTGGCTTCATGCTTAGCAAGATCATCGGCGGGGATTACTACCTTGATGTTCTGGTTACGGCTGCACAGAGTAAGGAGCTTGTCGACCATCCACCTTTGGGCGTGGCGGATGTGCAGTCGCTTGACAAGAGGACAGTCCGCCTCTCGTATGAACCGACTACCGTTGGAGCCCGAGACCTGTTGGAGTCGATTAAAGACAAGTGTAATGGCCTGGCTGAACCCCGTGGAGATCCCCAACTCGAAAACAGTCGCCGTCGCCTCTGGGACCAACTCACAAAGACTCTGCTCGCCGCAGCACTCACCATCCCCGTCGCAGTAGTCTCATGGAGCGAGAACCTAGTCGACAAGAAGACGGAGGGGATTGTCTCGCTGATCCTCGGCACACTGGTTCAATGCATCGCCATCCCCGAGTTCTACCGCCCTGCTATTTCGGCTGTTTGGTACAGTCGAACTGTCGAGATGGACATGCTCGTCGTCATCAGCATCACCGCTGCCTACGTCTACTCTGTCGTTGCGTTTAGCTTCGAAATGGCGGGTAAACCTCTTGACGAGGGTCAATTCTTCGAGACCAGCACCATGCTCATCACGCTCATTCTCGTCGGTCGCCTCATCGCGGCCTTCGCTCGCGTCCAAGCTGTTTCAGCTGTATCTCTTCGCTCCAAGCAGAATAACATCGCTGTGCTGGTACAGAAGGAAGGTGATCGTGAGATCGACGCTCGTCTTCTTCAGTATGGTGATTTCTTCAAGGTTCTGCCTCACTCGAGAGTTCCTACTGATGGTGTTGTGCTATCTGGCAAGACTGAGGTTGATGAGTCTATGCTTACAGGGGAGACACTTCCTATTGTTAAGCAGAAGGGCAGTGACTTGATTGCGGGCACTGTTAATGGAGATGGTACCGTCACTGTCCAGTTGACGCGCCTGCCTGGGAAGAACACGGTCACCGACATTGCTCAGCTTGTGGAAGAGGCTGCCAAGTCGAGACCTGAGATCCAAGACCTCGCTAACAAAGTCGCTGGCTGGTTCGTTCCAGCAATGGCCACTGTGGCTATTCTTGTCCTTGTCATCTGGATCGCCTGCGGTATAGAGGTTCTCAACTACGATGCTGGAAAGAGTGTTGGTAATGCCATCACCTACGCAGTAGCTACTCTTGCAGTCGCATGCCCCTGCGCTCTTGGCCTTGCAGTTCCCATGGTTCTCGTCGTCGCTGGCGGTATCGCAGCTCGAGGTGGTGTCATCATCAAATCTGCTGATACCACTGAGGGAGCACGCAAGACTACTGATGTTGTTTTTGACAAGACTGGTACAATCACCGAGGCTGAGCTTGCTGTGACTGAGCAGGTCAACTTGAACGGAGATATGGCAGATAACATCTCTTTGACCAAGGCTCTTGTTTCTGGTGGCAAACATCCCGTCTCGGCTGCCGTTGAGAAACATCTACAAGGACAGTCCATCAAGGCCATGCCCGAAGTGGTCAATGTTCAAGTCGTTCCAGGCGCTGGAGTTGAAGCAGATTACCTAGAATCAACTCTGAGAGCTGGAAATGCTCGATGGACTGGGGCCGATAAGATGAACCACGTGTCGCGCCTTCAGCATGGTGGCCTCACTACTCTCGTCGTAACTCGCGATTCCATCCCTCTTATCGTCTTCGGCCTCTCGGCTCAGATCCGCGCTGAAGCAGTGCGAGTTATTTCTGAGCTCAAGTCTCGCGACATCAATGTTCATCTTGTTTCTGGAGATCAGATTAAGGCTGTTCAAGCTGTCGCGGCATCTGTCGGTATCCCTACCGAGAACGTCGTTGGCGAGCGTACTCCACCCGAGAAGAGAGACTACGTCGCTTCTTTGATGGAACAGGGCAAGCGAGTTCTCTTTTGTGGTGATGGCACAAACGATGCTATTGCCGTAGCTCAGGCCAACGTTGGCGCTCAAATGGGAGGTGGTTTGACAAGCAGCGACGTTACCCAGGGTGCAGCAGATGTCGTGCTTCTGAACGGTCTTGAAGGCATTCCTTTTCTTCTTGATATCAGCAAAGTCTCGTTTCAACGCATGTACTTCAACTTTGTCTGGTCTGCTGTCTACAACATCCTCGCCATCACAATGGCTAGTGGTGCTTGGGTTGAGTTCAGAATTCCGCCAAGGTATGCTGGTTTGGGAGAGATGGTCAGCGTGGTACCTGTTATTCTCGCTGCTAACTCAATGTTTTTTGCACGATACTTCAAGCTAAAGGCATGAATGGGGACTGATTTCTATTGGGCGTCATGGCGCTCTCGCTTGCACCACCTGGGGAGATTATGCCAGACGCTGGATAAACAACTCGGTTGATATTCCGTTTAGAGTGGCGGAGACCGTTCTAGATCTCCCTATCTGTATCCCAGATGTCTTAGATGAGGGACTTAGCTTTGTGACTTACCATTGTCATTGGCCTTAGGATTTAAACTATTGAATAGGACGAGTTTAGAAGATTCGGTAGTTTATCATAACTCAGCTGAACATGCACGGCGGTAGGAAACTGGCCTAAGTAAAGCATTAGTCAAAAGTGGTTCCCCACTTAGGGCCATAATAGCGCTTGGAAGCAAGCTGTGGTAGGCTGCAATCCGAGAAGATAAGCCGTGTCCAATAGTTAGGTTTTAGTGTCCAAAACCTGTGAGTCTGGAACATCAGTCTAATCCACGTGTCAAGATAGCTGCAGCTTCTTAAGAAATAATTGCTCATCTCAAAGACGTATATAAAGCGTCGGTTTATTCTAGCTAGCATGCCTCTTAAATTCCCTACCCCTCTCTCAATCATCATTATCTCGCAAAACCCATCTAGCAACGATTAAACAATGGAGGTTGCTGAGAAGATTGTGGATTTCGCCAATGACTACCTCAAGGAGGCCGCGGCAGAGCAGGAAGCCGATGCGCGTCAGGCTCAAATTATGACCGCATTGGGAAACATCCAACAAACGCTTAATTCTCTCCAAGACGAGCAACAGCAGTCGACCAACATTGCTATGATTGGAGGCAGTTTTACTAGCATCGAAACCTGGCAGACACGGTATGCAACTGCAAACAAGTTCAAAAATACCAGCGAGATCAACACCTTGATCAATGAGTTCAATGAAAATGCACCAACCTACATCACGAATATTTTCAATGTTCTCAACGGGCAAGGTCTTGGTCCGGGTACGTCTCCTTTGCTCAAGTCATGGCATGACGCTAGCTACAAGAAGATGTACACTCCTGTCAATGGCCAGTACACGTTCACTCTCAAGAACTATCTTGATGACTATAACAGTATCGTCTCATGGGGTATTAGCATGGCTGGCTATGCTTTGATGTGCCAGATCATTGCACTACGAGGTTAGTAACCTGTTATTGCGAAGCAGGGGCCGTCTAACTTGAATCAAACAGTACTCGCAGCCCCTACTATGTCGGCCAGTGATCTCCAGGGAGAAGCTGACCAGTACACGAGCCAATTTACGGCCAACGCAACCGCCGCCCTAGGCGTGGCCTATGACCAATTCCCCTCCTTCGTCAAGAAGTTCAAGCCAAACTACACGGACGTCGGCACAAACCTCAATCAATGGTTCAGAATGTGGCTGCCAGGCCAGCATGTTAAGAACTACGTTGGTTGGACAGGAGATGGTATCAACGCTGAGAATGACCAAAACTACGGTGTCAATGGATACAGCCAAAACTTCATGTACCAGCTCTCCCCATTAGACTGCAACGACGACGAAGGCATCTACCCAGCTGTTGAGTTCCGTTTCGACGAGGCGACCCATCCAATGAACGGGCTTGCAACGCTCATTTCACGTGTCGACGGTGCGGGTGTTTTCATCTACAAGTTCGACGAGGGTGGCTTGAACTCTGTAGGGCTCACCACGACCTTGGATCCCCAGTACTGGGCCGAGGGTGGCACCTTTACTCAAGCACTATTCAATATCCTACCTGTCAGTGCTAAGGACATGGGAAATAACCCTGCTCCGGGCTTTGTTCTCATGCTGGCAAATGGTCCACCTGACAAAGTGGCAGATTGGACTTGGGTCCCAGGTACAGCTTCTCCCCTGCTCTACTGGATTTTGCGAGATGACGGCCTGGATCAATCATCATGGGTACAAACGCCGACGTCTGCCTCCACTGCACCCGGAGATGACTCGGATGCACCGTCACCAAATCCATCAGTATAGTCCTAGTATAAGTTGAAGGGGTAATCAGGCCTTGATATGGGCAGGACCGTAACGAAGAGGCTGTACGTAATGTATTTATATCCTATTAAGTCTGTTTCCAGCTCTAGATAGCGAGTATGGCAACTCAATGTGTAGGCTTACTACATCTCGTTGGTGTATCTGAAGCCCTCTCTCTCAATCAGTCACTGCTAGTTTTAATGTAATTCTAACCGCTGACGTAGGATCGGCCTATATTGTCAGATATCAGGGACGAGAGTGGAGCGGTATATGCAGAAAGGTTCAGCTGAGGTCAATTATTGTCAAATATTGATGCACAGTCACTGGTAGGCCACCAATTAGAGGCTGGCTGTTGCTGGTGGAGGAGCCATAAGCCTGCGTAAACCCTGTGCTAGAATGTGACAGCATGGTAAAAACTTGCATACAGCCAACAACGCAACGAGGCCACGCACCCTCCTGGCTGTATGCCAAGAGGTCACTGAACAGCCGGTCAGAAAATGCTATGTTACGTTGCAAATGAAAATCAGGCTGCCATGGTTGCCAGTCACAAGGTTTCAGTTCCTGTGTGTGTGAATTGATCTCACTGCTACCGATCATCGCTACTCTTCTCATCTCTTTATTTCTGATCCCAATTGATTGACAGCTAGATCAGCAGCTCCCCTCTTTTACATCTTCTTAATCATCTTGAAACTTTTCCGATAACAACCTAATGGCTGCACCGAGAATTATGACTCAATCGCTGCAGATTCAAAAGAGCCGCAGCACCTTGGAAATCGAGGACAAAATCTGGTCAGCTGTGCTCAATGCTGAAGATGGAAAAATCAAGGAAGCTTTCGAAGACATTCTGAGACAGCGAAAACAAGACTCTCTGGATCATTCTCCTGGATCTACTCAACCATCGCCTGGCGCTGATATCGAGGCCAACGATCCACCCGAGGCGAAAGTCACCAGTTGGATGTCATCCATTTACAAGACAATCCAGACGATGCGCCACAAGAACACGAAACCCGAACCCGATATTTCGGGCGATATAGAAGAACAATTGAGATCGATTGCGAATGGTTCCAGATACCTGACTGAAGATGAGGCCAATCGACTCCCAGTTCGTCAACGGGGAGGGCCACTCTCACTGTTGTTTGTTGCCATATGTCTAAGGCACAGCGAAAACGCGAAATATCTACTGAAGAGCCCGCAAATTGACATTGATCTGAGCAAGAAGTTCACTTGGAAAGAATGCACAGTCCTCCACCAGGCAGTAACTGAACGCAACCTTACCATCGTGTCTCATATTCTGAGGCACAGCTCCATGGCGCCTTTGGAGTATATCGATATCGGAGACTGTTTGGGCTATACCCCATTACACTATCTTACAGACGAAGTCGGGATCTCTGGAACTTCTGGCGACAAGGGCATCGACAACATGACGAAAATCCTCACAAAGCTGCTTGATTATGGGGCAGAAATCGACCATACTAGTGATTCGGGCTGGACACCACTTCACAACCTGATACTAGGTGGACCCAGTGAGGCATCTACGGCTTTTCTAAAAAGCCTTCTCGAAGCAAAAGCAGAAGCAAACACAAAGGATAACTATGGTACGTAAGCTGGGCATCCTACAGTCTCAGGCGCTCTACGGGATGGCAGAGAATAACGTGCTTACAGGAGACTCACCACTACATGACGCCTGTAGGAACAGAGACGAATCTGCGATTAAAATGCTACTTGAGTGGGGTGCGGAGCTAGACTGTCTGAACAATGAACACGAGACGCCCCGACAATTGTTTCGTAGCCAGGATCCCTCGAAACCTTTGAACAAAGACCGAGAGGACTTCTTTAGTCGGCAGCTTTCCTTCCTCCAGATTGAAAGCCAAGGACAGAAGACCCTTGGTGATCTACCCCTGGCACATACCGATAACACAAAATTCACCCGGCAAGATTGCATGCACTTTCCGGTCTACTTCAGGCACCAGTTGGCGTACTATGATCCAAAAGCTGACAAGGAGACTTGTCTGTCATGGAGTCCAACTGGCATTAAAGTGTCACATGTTTTGTACCGCCAGCCTGAAGACTCCCAGATGCTAACTGAAGCTGGTGCTGCTGAAGTGTCACCGGATGCAGAAAGATCTGGCGATGATGACGATGATGAGAAGGAAGGAGAAGCTAGCGAAGGCCACGCTCTAGAGCGGACATTTCTTTCTGATTGTGAGTCGGAATTCACAAAGTCAGTTGTGAAGCTATCGCTAGAGACAGAACTTGATGAGCAGCATTCCTGGAAGTGGATTAATTTTCACTCAAACAATGTGAGTTAACAGAAGGGCAGAATGTGTCGGCGCTTACTCAGTATATCTAGATGTCCTGGATCCAGGTAAAGCTATTCTGTCCTGAAAGTCATGTTTCATCATACAAATACTGTCTTTGCAGGACTTCATAAAGGCTAATTTTCGATCTTCGGATTTATCGACTGTTGAGCCTTATGCCTGGCGGTTCTTCGAGAGCAATATTAGAGTTCGAGAAACAAAAGATAACAATGCTCGAGTAAGGAAACCTCACGCTTATGTTAGAAATACCCTTGAAGAACACAATTTATACATATAAGTATCTGACTGCGCGGCAGATCAAGGAGAAGCCAGATACCAAGGAGAGAAAGAATCCACAGAATATTCCGCAGAAGGTACCTGCAATAGGGTCAAGGTCTGAAGGCGCCAAAGGTTTAGGGGACCAAACGACAACCTCTCCTGAAAAGAGTAACCAGCAATCATCTGATACAAAGGAGGTTCCCCCATGGGTCAATGCAGAGTGTTTTGTTAAAGACAGCAGCATGGTAAGCCTAGTTGTAAGTTAAATTCTATCCAGGAAACTTGGATTCAAGAACAGACCAAATAACTTTCCCTTAGCTGCCCTTCCTAGACTTCGAGAGTGAGATGGAGAAAGGAAAAGACGACATTAGCGAGCAGGAGCGAGTTATTCAACGCCGGTACTCTCCCTTTACTGGTATGCACGGGGTTCAACGGTCCCAGACACTTGATGACACAGCGAGCGGTTTCGGTCAAAGCGGCGGTAGCGCCGATGATCTGAGGACAATAGGAGAACAGGTGATCTACAGGTGGTCGAAGGACAAGTCAGAAGCTCAATCGAAGGATGGAAATCAAGATGTCAAGGCCGCAGACTTCAGGACCAAGAGTCCAAGAAAACCGCGTAACTGGCTACAGAAATGGTTTCAGGAACAGGTCAAAGGAGGTGCTGAAGAAGCTGCAGCTGAGAACGACTCGACCTCTCAAGCGTTCGAGGGATTCGAGCTTAGAGCTCTGGGGGGACAAAACGACAGAAGAGTCAACCCAGCCAAGAACGAGACAATCCAAAAGAAAGTCAGGATAGAGGCTGGAACCAACGAAAGAGCAAACGGCAAAAAGGTCAACAGAGCCAAGGACAAAGCCATCCAGCAAGACCTCCGTAAAAGCTGGCTGATGGTGCGCCAACTATGGCTCTGGAAACTCGATGAAAGTATGTCATTATGCATCGATAACACTTGTGCGTCTGTTCTCTAGCATGCAGCTAATTTGAATAAGATACGATCATCACCACTATACCTACTCGAAGTTGTCATACAATGGCTGACGACCTATTCGAGACAATCAAGCAGGGAAATCTATACACCGTTCGGAGTTCAGGAGACCTGATTAAACGTATTGTGTCTGAAACGGTCAAGTTCATTGATGAATTCAAATGGGCTGGACTTGGGCATCATGTGCTGGACATCTTTGAAGGAGAGATTAGTAAAGAGGTAAGACTATGAATACTCTGAGAATACCCAAGCTGAATATTTTTTAGATGGATAAAGAAGCAGGATACTATAAGTATTTCGAAACCACCGTAAAGGACCTCGACTTGGTTAACAAAACAATTTCGGAGGCTGCCCACTCGACATGGCAACTAAAGGACATTCGAGATGAACTTCGTCTCCTACAAAGGCTCTTTGAGACACAACTTGATGTAGTGAAGAAGGTTGCTGAGATGCTTTGGCCGACCAAGCTTCCAGGGAAGCCGAGCCTGACCAAGGATGATCGCCAAACCTTGAGATCAAACTTTATTCGCGACCTGGGGCTTGAGAATCTGATACAGCGCGTAAAGAGACTTAATCAGGATGCTTACACAACGCTTGAAGGGGTATGTAAGTCGAAAGCCGTACCTGAAACACTTACTGACATTTACTTCATCAGGTCAGCACTATCATTCAAGCTATGCAAGCACAAGCGTCCCTCAAAGAAGCTGAATCCGCTAGATTTATGAACCACATAATCCTTCCATTCACTATCGTAACAGTTATTTTTGTAAGTATTTTGGCCTTGGTATCACCGTTTGTCAGCCGCTAATACCAACATAGACCCCCCTTTCATTCCTGACGAGTCTGTTTGCAGTGAACTCTGATGGGTTCCCGCATAACGATGACGGGGAACTAAGAATACCCGCTGACTGGCTGGGATGGAATTTAAGTAAGCAACTACCTTTTGCGCGGTTTTTGTTCTGTTTCTAATAGGGGGCTAGTTGTGGGTGAGCTCCTAGCACTCATCCCTGTGTTTTTACTGGCGTGGGGAATCTACCATCTGCAGCAGAAAGGAAGAAGGGATGCTTTGAAAGATCCGCTGAAGTCAAGACTGTTACACAAGTCGAGACCGGCATCCTCCTAAGTAATTTATGTAAATACAGACCTCCACATTGTCTTTATTACCTTCATGCTAAGACCAACCAGGATAAAAGCTAAAAGTACTGAAACAAAGGAAATTGAATACGACCGCCATTCTCGAATGCGCTTGGACTAATCCATCATCTGCCGTTTCCGATCCCAGGGTCCTGAATCTAAATCATCGGCAGTTGAATGTGCGGGGAAATTTGTTGCACTATTTCCGAGCCATCCGTAGTGTCCTGCGCTTTCCGAATGGTTTTATGTGGCTATGAGTCGGGATAGATGCGTAAGCAGACGAGTTTGTAGACGTGTAAAGCAACTATAAAAGCTTCCGCTATACTCTAGTCTTTCCTTCACGCCTTATTATGCGTTTTATTGCTAAAATGTCACTTGAGCTTGAATCGTCCATCATCTGGGCCTTGAGCCTGCCCATGCTTCTCCAAACGTCGACTGTCGTAGGCGCCTTGGTACTTGGATACATTGTTTACTATCGATACCTCCACCCACTGGCCAAGTACCCTGGTCCTCCCCTCGCCTCGGTCACCAACTTGTGGAAGACCTACCATCTTTGGAACTTGCGTCTCCCGCATATGCTTGTTCATCTGCATGAGCAGTATGGCGACGTCGTACGGGTCGGAACAAATGATTTGTCGTTTCGCAATCCCGATGCTGTCAATACCATCTATAAGGCAGGTAGGCAACTACAAATGACGGGGTTTTATGATGGATTCACGACTTTCAATCCCAACTTGTTTGTAACACAAGACGAAGAGGTATGTCAACCCTTGTCCATGAATGGGCGTTTAATTAAGTCTAAATATCAGATTCACGCCATCAGGCGTCGCCAAATGGCCCATGCCTTCTCCCTGAAGTCCATTAAGGAGATGGAGCATTTCGTCGACCGCCATATCCTGAAACTGAGGAATAACCTCGATCACTTCTCCGACACAAAACAAGTGTTGACCTCAAGGACATGATTGCTTTTTATGTCTTTGATGTACTAGGCGAGCTCGCCTTCAGCAGAAGTTTTGACTCTCAAGATGAAAGAGACATAGCCCGGCTGCCACCCATCAACGGCCATATATACCTTGCTTGCATGATGGGAATGACACCGGAAGCTCTCCTGTGGATCAAGAAAGCCCTACCTTTCATCCCAATTCCATGGCTGCGACGTCTGTTTAACGCTCGTGCACAACTTCGAGATCTGACTGCGGCGTGTGTCCGCCAGAGGATTGAAGCTGGTCCCAGCGGCCGCAAGGACCTTCTTTCGTGCTTGTTGCTCGCCGTTGACCCTGAGACTGGGTCCAGGCTTACCGAGTTGGACATAAATACCGAGGCCTTTGCAATGATGTAGATGACATTGCCTGTATCTCCAGCTTCCTTCTCACCAATCACAGTGTCGCCGGGTCTCATACCACGTCAGGCACCCTGACGCTCCTGTTCTCCCATTTACTGCAAAACCCCAAGGCCTTGCACAAGGTTATCCAAGAATTAGATTCGAACTTGTCTAATAATACAGGTCGAGTCATATCTTACAACGCCCTCGAGAAAGACCTACCATATACATGGGCATGCATATACGAAAACTTCAGAATCAACCCGGTGTTTACTATGCCATTACCCCGGAAGATCATGACTCCTGGTGGACTCGAGTTCCAGGGATGCCAAATACCTCAGAAGGTGAGATTGAACAACCCAGTAGATTCATCCAGGTCTAAGAATAGATAGACCACTGTTTTTGCTTTGAACCACGTCGTTCACCATAACCCATCGGTTTGGGGACAAGACCACGACCAATTCATCCCAGATCGCTTCCTTGGACCCCATAGTAAAGAGCTCCAGGGATGTTTATCGCCTTTTAGTACTGGACATCGCATGTGCATAGGCAAGAACTTGGCGATGATGAATATTTTAAAGGTGCTTTCTACGGTACTGAGAAACTACAAATTGAAAATGATCCACCCGGAAGAACCGGTTGATACTTTGAGCGTCGGCATTTCTGAGAAGAAGGGAGGATTAATGTGCAGGATATCGAGAAGGTAACCTTGGTTGGCAATGTCAAGGCCGAGGCAAACCCGAGGCGTCTAGATAAGCAAGGTACTATTAAGACACAAGTATATGTACACGTTGTAAGTTGGCCTGGAGTGCACCCGAAATGCCGATCCAGAGCGAATTCGTCAAGATGGTGCAGCATCGGGTCGGAAGGGTATCGGATCTAGGGAGTTGGGTGCCCAGGAACTGAAAGCGTCTGTGGTGGCACGGGACTACCTGTCATCACTGTTACCTAATTCAAGTCATCAGCACTAGCGAGACTCTATGGCAACTATAAAGACACTACTCAGCTCTTTGAAAGGACTCCCCCATCTATCGTAGTTTACTTCCAAAGCCTTCAACTCCACATTTGTTCTCAACATGGCAGACCAGCAGCCTCCCCGCATTCACAATGAGATCTACCCATTCCTCCATCCATCAAAATTCAGGAATTCTTTAAAAGGAAAGGTTATTCTCATTACCGGTACGCATCTCGGAAAAGAACTCTTCTCTGGCTTGAGACCTTGTTTCTGTTACCTAACGCTAAGTAGGTGCTCTTGGTACTATTGCCGGCGCCACCGCTGAATGCTTCGCCACTACTGGTGCCCGTCTCTTCCTATCCGATATACAGCCTTCGCTGCCAGATTCTACCAAGCATCGTCTTTTGTATCTTGGTGCTGATGAAGTGCATTATTGGCGCTGCGATGTCGGAAACCCCAAAGAGTGCGAGGATCTGGTCAAACAAGTAAGCCATGTTCAGCAATACGCCATGAAATATTCATTAACGAATATCGACAGGCTACCTTCACCGTAGGCAACATTGATGCCCTCATTAATGGTGCCGGAGTTGTTGGTGTCCGCGTGGTAAGTGTCCTACCCATGGTATTTACAAGGGAAATGCTAAACAGTATGTACAGTTCCATAAGCAAGACCCTGCTCTTTTCTTCCGAGACATGGCAATCAACTTCAATGGACCCCTGGTCCTGATGCGTATGGTCCTGCCTGGATTTATTGAGAGACGCCAAGGGTGCGTGATCAATATCGCTTCCAAGGCAGCCACTGTAGACTTTCCATTCAACATTAGTTATTGTACCAGCAAGGCGGCTTTGGTCAAGTTGACGAGCGTCCTTCAGGCCGAAGTGGATGAAGTTGCTCCATCATCTGATATCAATCTATACGCGATCCATCCAGGCGCGGTGCGTTCGGGCATGAAGATAGCAGGTGAGTGGGCACTGAGTCCTATCAATCCTTATAACATATACTGACACAACATGTAATGCCACTAGATGGCCATCATGACGCTGCACTAGCAGAGTTTCCTCAAGTCTTCTCCCGCTTCGAGGAGTGGATGAAAAGGTTCACTGGCTCGCCGCACTTGGCTGGCATGTCATGTGTAGCTCTCGCAACCGGTATTGCGAAGGATGCGCTTAGGGGCAGATATTATGATGTTGAACAGGATCTGGAGGATACAATTGCCCAGACAGCATTGTTGAAGGCGGATCCGCTGCTTCACACTCTGCATATTAGCATGCTCGGGTCATTGGAGCGAGAGGAGGGTGCTATTGCCCAGAAGCCGGAGGAGAGGTTCGACTTCCCTGGGTTCTAGAACTAAATGAGAAGGGATAGATTTATGAGAACTTGGAACTATTTTAATAGGTTTAGTGAAGGGGCTATAAGACAGAACTCTGGAACAGGTTATTGAAGTTCTCCGTTGCCGTCTAGTCGTGGGCTGATATAGGTATACTAATTACATCCCCCCCGATTCTATCTCTTCGGCCTGATTGTACCATACATAGGGCAGCAAGCGCCATAAAGGCAGTTATGCAAGGTTTTGGGCTTGAGTGACAAAAATAATTGCCAGTAGTGAAGCCTTGCTCCAAATATCCCGTAATTGGACTTTCGAATGGCATAATAGCCACAATAGTAAAGTCTCCAATACCTCATACGAATGAACTACAGTCTCAGAGTAAGGGATATACATTAGACATGATGCTTCTCGTAATTCGAATCTCTTCTTCCAACTCGATGATACGCTCTCGAGCGAGGTCAAGTACTTGACCCCTACTCAAGACCTGCCCTGAACTCGGCGAGCTGTCTCTATCAGCTAGGGTGTTTGTTCTCGACGCGGGCAGCACTGCTAGAAGACTTTCGAACTGCGCCTTGAGTCGAATTCGATACTGCTTCTCGGCCAGGTGATGACATTCTCTGACGTGTGCTGGCGTGTCTGAAGTCACCTTGTATCGGCGGGTTTTCGGCTTGCGTGATGCTGCTCGGAGTTGGATCTCGGTCATCTGTGGAACCTGGATCGTTTGCGTTGGTGAAGTATTCTGTTGTGCTGTCGCAGAGGAATCTTCAATGGTTCTGTTGGTGGGGGCTAACATGCCGGCGTCGTGACTGAGGGTTGTTGTAGAGTTCGGCAGGTAGTTGAAAGGGTAACAAGTTTGCATATAATCGACAAGCTCCGGTGAGCTGGACGTGTTGGAGAAGTACTCATCCACGTCCCAAGTGAGGTTCTGAGCAGAGCCTGTTGACGGAACCACGTCAGTCAGCATCAAAAGTGTCAGCTTGGAAGGAGGGGCGACTTACTCTGCTCAGTTGCTAGGTGAAGAGGCATCTGATTGGTGAGTTAGTATAGCTCATGCTCTTGATCAATATGGGTGGCATGATGGAGAGCTAATGTAGAAGCGGTGCTGGGTAGATAACGGTGTGAGAGCACGACAAGGATGTAAGGGATAACCTACTAGGGGCTGATGGTCATCGGCGCTTTGCTGCAGGGTGTCGGAGGTGCAACCAAATTCCAGGGCAGCCATCTGGAACTGCAGCTGGTCGTTGGTGGGCTGATTGTTGGTTTGGTCAAACGATTTATATAACCTTTTGCCAGATGAAATGGCTTGTTATTGATCAAGCATGCAAGACAACAGGCACTGCCTGGCTGTTAAATGAATATTATTATCGTGGTATGCCGTGACTGAAGCCCCGCTGCAATTAATATCCAGTTCAATAGCCCAGCCCTGTACCGAGACAGTGGCGTACCGCGTGCCATGTCGACCGATTCCGGGACTTGGCGATCGATCGATCGTACGTTCGCGACCCTCCCAACAGAACCAATATCCTATGCTCATCGTATTTTAGCAACATGATGGCGTCGGGGAGCCGGGCTTGCGGCTAATTCCGTCTCCCTGCGTCAGCAAATCGATTCTGGGCTGTGAAAGAGTCTAGACCAGTCCATGTGCTCGTTGGGCTGAGGTCTAGAGTGGGTCATGGTCTGGGACACGTCATCAGAAGCGGGGTTTACGAGCTTAAAGAGCGAAATTCAAGAGCCAGTCAGCCCAGAACGATGGGAAGCTCTGGGAATGCCCTCTGATTCATCAAAAATTGCCGTAAACCAAGTGTCAATTTTGAAAACCAAAGATCTGGCCTAAGCAAATAATTAACCTTATTTAGCTTTCTTTAAATTAAACAGTACTATAGCTTTCACTCTAGCCACCTATAAGTCGTAACCCGTCTCGCACCTGTTAAGTGCTCGTCCCTCACCCAGCCCTCAATCACCGACCGCCACACTTGCTATCCCTGGCAGGACATCTCCAGCTATGTTAAAGCTCACAACCAATCCCATTTGAGGCCTTTATGGGGCTGCGATGTTATGTTCGGCATTGCTTTTTGACGGCACAGCACGCCACATCCTCCGATTCCTGTTGTAACTTTCTTGATTCGGGATCGGAGCAGTGGTGAGTCATTGAATTCACAAAATTCCAGCTCTGATGAGGTGCAGATGATCTTACAGGACAGGTTCAAGAGCTCTGCCTTTTAGCATATAACCATGCATATTAGGGAATGTGTGCATTGGCTTAGAAAAGGCATGAGTAGCTCTGGGTGCGTTTCCCATTATCCTTTATGATTATTCCTTCACTATTACAAAGACAGTGTCGCGACCTTTTCATCTTCTGCAGTGATAAAAAACTGTGTCGATTGTGAGTGCAGGTATCACGGCCGTGATTGGACCTCCATAGATGACCTGTCGAGGTCTTAACAAGAGAACGGGGGTAAGCAGCAATAGAGCCAAGCCACTTAAGCATATCGTAAGACTTTAAATAAAGTATCACCAAACTCCCGGCGCTAACAGTCAACGTGGCACATCGAGGGTCACTGAGATCGGCAGGACGTGAAGTTGTTACATGACTATCAATTTTAAATTCTAGTAACCTCTCTTGAATTTCCATCATCAGTCAGTGTTGCGCAACGGAGGTGCAAAACCGATGATGTGAGCACCATATCTCCACCAAGCAATTGATGGAATGACTGGGCATGTAAGATTTAGATTCTCAAGTCCCGGGTGGCAGAGTAGTCTAAACCCCGCCATGGGGCATTGCTCTGTTCGCCGAATAATCTAGTCCCCTGCGAGCATGTAGCTGCTTACGCATCTGACACCACGGATACCCCTAAGTCACTGCCTGAATCCTGAGAACCTGGTTGACTTCAGCCCTTCTAACGGAAACTCAGCTTCGCTAGCATTGATGCATCGGACTCTACCCATTTTCGGAAATCGTATCGTCAAAGGCAAAATTGTGGCTTACTGCCATCATCATATGATGGTAAAACATGCTCCCTTCCCCGTAAGCCCAATAGGTTATCCAGAATCCTGTTTCAGCTACGAGTCGGGAAAGGCGGCGGTCTAGACCACTAACCCCTGATATGATCCTTGCATTTGCTGCTACGTTCCATCTTAGATATCTCAGAGGAGTAAAGAGAAAAGATGACTGCTGATGAGGAAGATTAGAGCAGGAGATACAAAAGGGCTGGCTTTAGTGGCTGCACAGATACTGGCAGAGCATGCGAATACCTGATCTACATGTCTACAAGCTTCTTATACAACAAACACAAACTGAATAAAAGCACACAACATAGTAAGTAGAGCATTCATCCCTGTTTAAATTGGTTGAAGACTAAGAGAGTTTGTCAAGTACCGACTACCATGCATACATATCCGTCTGGCTTTGTTGAAAGCACGTGGCATCAGCACCCAGGTCATTCTACCTATCCATCACCACCCGACACTCATTTCGGCTTCCATGGCTTTGGCTCGTCGAACACACTTATTGACGGTCCAAACGATACTATTCAGCTCGATCCTTGGTTCTGCCAGAAGTGGCTAGATAAGTCTGGGGATGTGCAAACAGAAGCTCCTGTCAACTTAGTCCACGGCCAGGGCTCCTCCGCAACAACACAGTCAGAATATGGCACCCAAACTCAGGCTCAGTCTAGCCAGGAATATCATTCAGACTCAAGGTCAAAAATTCAACAGCATAAAGGTCCTCATTCACAGAAGACCACAACTAGCACACAGCAAGGTTATTCTTGCAACGGCGGTCAGAACCAAAATCTTATGCAAGAGAAAGCATTACGTATTCGCGAGAGGAATCGAAACATTGCTCGCAAATATCGAGAACGCAAGCAGCATGAAGCAGAGGTATTGGAAGCTCATAGGGAGAGATTGCAAGAGGAGAATGCAGTCCTGAGGGACCGGTGTAATGACTTGAAACAGGAAGTACTGGATCTTAAGAATCTTTTACTGCAGCATACAGAGTGCAATTGTAATATGATCCAGGCTTTCATCGCTACAGAGGCCAAGAGGTCACTGTATAGTCTTCTTTCATCAAGCTCATTAAGTTAAGCGCTTGTAGACATAAGGTTTGACTGAGCGAGAGGTGGCCTTTTTATCAAGTCCTTCATGTCGCGCCATGAGATATAAACTACAGCAGATTCCAAACTATGGGTACAACTACTTAAAACTGGACATTGGTGTACTTCCTTATAGCCCTTGCTTCCTATTGATAGGAGTAAGACACGTGATAATAATACGTATATATTAGGCTGCAATGCATGCTGACAGAAGACTCTCCCATTACGCCTTTCTAAAATCTGTGGACACAAGACCTGTAAGCCTTCTGATTGAATCATCTTACTTTTCAAAACTGCTATACAGCAAGAAATTGGTGTTGCTGATGCTTGAGCTGATAATGGCATCTTCCGACAACACGATCCACCAAGCGTTGGATAACAACTCCGATGATCAGAAAGACCTTGGTCGGGCAATTTATATGCACCGCCTCGCGCTTGATTTCCGAAACCACTTCCACAATACTAGAGAAGCACAGTCAATTGAAGAGGCAATAGACATGGCCGAAACTCCTATCCTTATCGCATCAGATTCCAATCCTAACCAGCGCTGCTACTGCCCCAGCCTTGCCCTGGTACTCGGGGATCAGTTTTGCTACTCGGGTCTCCCCGACCCTATCAAACATGCTATCGAAGCAGCTCACCGAGCCTTAGAGCTAGCCCCAAAAGGTTGTTTAAACCGGCTATGCTATCTCAATACTTTATCCTACATGCTATATGACCAGTTTGGGATCTCGAACAATCATGATAGTTTGAGAGATTCTCTCAAGGTTATTGAAGCCGTCCAGGAATGCCCAGAAAGTCACCCGGATAGACCAGAATACGTAGACCATTTCGACCTTGTTCTGGTGCTTTGGTCACTTTTACTGGCTCTGTCTCTGTCCAAGAACTTGACCGTGGCTTGAAGCATGTGAGACAGTCTGTCAACAGCCTATCGGACGATTACCCCAACAAAGCACAATACCTATCGACCTTTTCAGAAATGCTCCATTTCCAGTATTGCAACACGCTAGGTGAAGTTGACCCTTCGGAAGCTATACAGGCAGCAAAGGATGCCATCGCGGCAGTCCCCGAGCGTAGCCCGGAAAGAGCATTCTATTTGCATTCTCTTGGGAGGCTCCTTGCCGACAGATGAGACTACACCCAATTATCGAGCGATATTGATGAAGCTATTCACCTGGCGAGACAGGACACAACAGAGTTTTACGATTATGATAAAGACTGGGTCTCCCGCGGGATTGACTTGGGGCGTTTCCTTGTAGGTCGTTCTGCCGCTACAGGGTCACTTCAAGACTTCGACGAAGCCATAGAGATCGCTCGTGAGATTCTGAGGATGCCTCTGAATGATCACAAGCGACGATTAGGAGATCCCTTGATCTTGCTAACCGGCTGAGCCAGCGACACGTGAGAACCGGATCACTATCGGACCATGAGGAGACAACAAAGGTCGTTAAAACCAATCTCTCATTGGCCCCAGACGATGATCCGGCTCGAATACATGCTTTCCATATTCTCAGTACCGCCATAGGTGATCGTTATTTCCTATCGGGGTCAATGGATGATCTTGATGAATCTATCATGCATGCCAAAAAAGCTGTGGAGACAACACCGATGACATCGACAGATTGGCTGCGCTGCCTAGCAAATCTAGGCTCTAGCTTTGCTACAAGAGTACCGCCAGACAGGACGACTGGCAGATCTTGACGAAGCCATCAGAATCTTGGAGACAGTATTGGACCAAACTCCCGAAAGAAACCACATGTGGATAGGGGTCGTGTCGTGCATAGGAAACCTATTCACCAATACATATGAAAGATTGGGGAAGGCTTCTGACTTGACAAGATCAATTGAGCTGGCGAAAACTGCTCTTGAAAGATGCCAACAAGGCAGCGAGAGCCGAGGGAGCTATCTCCACAGACTATCAACTGCGCTTGTACATCGTTTCAAACGCAACAGGTCCATGGCAGATCTTTAGGCTTCTATAGATCTTGGTTACCAGGCGCTAGAAGCAACGTCCACCAATGAAGTGAATTACTCAACCTTGCTGGATGGGATAGGAGTAAGTGTAGGACTGAAATACAAAGTCACAAACGGCTTATCAGACCTGCAAGAAGCTATTCACTTCGCTAAGAAGGCCGTTGATGCTATGGGCGAGACGCATCGCTACAAGACCGAGGCCCTCAGCAACGTTGGCGAATATCTTCTGAAGCGGGCAGCGACCACTAGGTGCAAGGATGATGAACAAGAAGCAACACGCTTCTTCCAGAAAGCAATCATGAAGACTCAATCATCAGTCAAGAGTCGCATGGAGGCTGCATGCCGCGTTATTTTCATCTACACGTCTCGATCAGAGTGGCAACTAGCTTATCAGGCAGCGGTGCTGGCCATTGACTTACTGCCCCAATTGGCAATACGCTCGCTAGGAAACACCGACAAGCAAGAGCTATTGACTATTGCGGCTGGCCTATCTTCACACGCCGCTGGACTGGCGCTTCAACTTGGCAAAGTACCCATGGTAGCTCTCAACATGCTTGAGAGAGGTCGTGGAATGATTGCATCGTCCCTGGATGACTTACACATGAACCTTGACAATGTTAAAGCAAAACACCCTGATCTGGCAACGAGAATTGTTTCTCTGCGCAACCAATTAGGACGAGACGAGATTCCAATGGAATCAGAATTCTGATAAACGGCATGAGGCTGGTCATGAATTTGATAAACTTGTTGCCGAGATCCGCCGTCAAGCTGGCTTTGAAGACTTCTTGCTTCCGCCCACTGAGCCACAAGTTATGGTAGCCGCTAAATATGGTTCCATATTCACGATGCAACGCCATTATAATCCAACCGCATCAGATTCGAGCAATAACATTGCCTAATTTCGACCATCACACCATGGTTGACTTTGTTGTGGATGGTACCCTACGAAGCCTAGTCGCCTCAAGAATACTAATCTAGACGTATCCAAGTTCTTTGAGAATCTCCATTTCAATATCCTCGTTTTCCTGCTTGGTAAAGACGCCAACGTCTTCAACACCGGCCTTCCGGACCCATCCGACTTGCACATCCGGTGACAGCTCGACCTTTTCCCTCTCCAGCCACCTTGCCTGGAAACGTCGGCTGACATTCTTCGTTGGGCAACTTTTCTTTGACACATCCATTGCCCGGAGCGCCTCCAATAGCTTCATGGCGGATTTGCCTCCCGCCAACAAATGACGTGACTGTTCTTTGAAGAGTGTGTAGTATGTGAAGTGTAGATTGGAGGACCCCAGCTCTGCATCTTTGTGACCATACTCGTATGCAAAAGGAAAGAAGCCAGCCATCTCCCAGTCGATAATAGCGGCTATGTTCCATTTTCCACTGTGGGCATTGTCGCGCTTTATGAGGATGTTGCGAGGCTCGAGATCATCATGGCAAAAAACGACATGCTTTCGAAGTTCAACAAGGTCAGAGCTAGTTAACTCAACCCGGTCGACATTTTCGATCTTAGACTCTACAACGAAGCTGTTTGAAGTACGCGTAGCACTGAAGTTGGTTTTGTCGGGAGAAGCACTGCCCGCAAGCTTCGCCAGAAATCCTGCTATATCGGAGTGATAACCAAGCTCCGGGCCGCCAATGAAGGCCATCTTGCCGTCGCAGTAGTAAGAAGTTCCTTCTAAAGTCTTTTGGGCATGCTCGCTATCCAATGTGAGATTTTGCAGCTTGGAGACTGCGTCAATAACTGAGCTCATTAAATCTTTCTGTGCTGGGCCATCAATCTTGTCCCACTCTTGCTCTAGGGTGATGGCGTTAGAGATAAATTCAGTGACTGAATATTCAAGCCGCTGTCCTTGCGCAGTGGAGGTTTTACCAACGTCCAAGACGCGAGGTACAAGGTCAGGCAACTGGAAATGGGCGAGCTTCTGGAGAGCAGCCACCGTTGAGAATCGGTCGCTGGAAGACTCTAGACGGACCAGAACATGTTCCGGAGAACCGGCGGCGGGAGTGTTCAGGTGGATACTGAAAGTACAGGTCGTGAAGTTACTTAAGATAACGTTACATCTTTCTTTGACTGTGTTCTCCAAGTTGGACACGGAATCCTTTATCATAGGAATGCCAGACAGGATGTTGTAATCGGGAATGAGGTTTTCGGTCGCCATCTTTAGATAAACAAAAATGTGCGACGAGGAAGAAGATAGAGTTAAGTCAATCAGAGGACACGTATGGGTATTTATAAGAGAGACCACGCAGTAGCACAGGTCACGTGAGCATACGCAGTACTTGCATCACATAAGTTTGGGAATTAATAGGCGAAGCCGACGGTCAACACACCTGATAATGCAAGCCCCACTTTACCGAGCCTGACCTAAGATGGGCGCCTGCATAGACCTGCCACAGACCTCTGAGCCAAGTCATGTCATATTCAATAAGTTTCAGTAAACGAACTCAAATATCTGCTCGAAAATCCTTTGCACGGAAACCAAAATTCTATGCTATAACAATCACCTGTTAATCATTTCTTCCTCCGAAGTTCCCATTGACTCCCACTACGAGATAAAAAACAGACACTGCCATAACAAAGGGATGCATTTGTATAGGTTCATTCATGCTTACTCAAAATGGGCCTTGCTGTAGAAAGTTCATTATATGAACTTATCATTCGACTATGTAAGCGAATGTAAGACTATCGCGATTCCGCAGGTACCATAGGCACCTCCAGTCAATCGCTTTACTAAATGAATGGACGTACAAGTAAAGATTCCTGGTTGGAGGTATCTTGAACTGTACAAGAAGGTAATTAACATAGTCATCTGCCCCCGGTTGTTGCCCAGCACGCAGCCACTAGATCTAACGTCTCCTTACTAACCACCGGAGACACTTAGAATGTGGTGAACCATGGCCACACCGAATCAGTTGTTGCATTGACATTTCTTAGATGCGCCAGAGAAGTTCAAACCACAACTTGAACACGTGTTCCTGTCAACAAGCGGCTCAATAGTGAGTGTAGCCACTTGAAATGAAAGGAATAAGCTATGTCCGCGATCTTGCATACTGGAGACTTACTGATTGTAATTTTGAATGCTCCGCGCGAGGTTGAATTCTGAAAGTATGGAATTGTTTTGAGAGATGTTGAGAGGTTGTTTGAGGTTAAATTTGACGAGAAGGTTACAGCCCCTTTATACCCATTGTTGTGTAGGATTTACCTGCACATCTTGTCTCTCATTAGAAGACTGCCCGATTCTCATGTTGTAGCCGCTGACGATATCAGTTGAGGCAGGGGTGGATTAAATGTGTCGCACAATGCATCTAATTCCGTGGGGGCAGGCGGCGGTAGGCTGGACAACATAGCACAGAACACATTTGCGGAACGTATTTGTTACTTGACACAACCTCATCCAACAGGTTCCCCAATCCTGGGAAGCTATAAGCTCTCCAAAAACCTTTTCAGCTGATCATTTGCTACTGAAATTCCTTTTGTTGTGGCCTCAAACCTAACTTTTGACTTCCTGGATAAAGACAAATCGTCATAGACTACAAGAGTGATACTATTCGGGAAGGAGTTGCGAGGCTTGTGTAACACGAGCTGGTAGATAATTCAACGAACGAAATAAGAGGAGCCTGCATATCGTGGCTTGATAGGCGGCAAACGTTTCCGCATATTCTTGAGACAGCCTCGCTAAACATGGGTGTTGTGGAGGGGCTGGTATGAAGTAGCCATGTGTTAGCACGTAATTGGTTAATTTCTCACCGGGTCATGTAGTACAATGGCTTAAGGTGGCTCCATGTTAGTACTCTCACCCTACTACTTGTTATCCTGAACAAAATGTTGTTTAGCGTATTTTGCGTTGAACAAGGATTAAGCAGACTGGCCCTAATCAGAAGGTCGCAGCTGCACCTTTCACAATGGGCAGTGCTGCATGTGATCTTTTAGCTTTCTCGTATGATTTCAAGGTGATTGATAAGCAGCTCCTGAGTATCCGGTTTTTTGAGGCTCTTGCGGCTGAAATCTTTGCACTTGAGTTGGTGGCTGGCTTCACCGCACCATGTGACCATAGAACTGAGACACCAAACCGCATATTGGTGTTGTGATAGCTCCTGGTTGTTTTCTAGCTTTTTTTTCGGTGACATCATAAGATGGGCGACGATGTTTTGTAATCGGCCGTTTTGCAACCAGTACTGCCAGTCGTTTTCCAAGCCAGGACTAGAAACCAACCTAGGTTCTCGGAGCTTATAGGAGTAACATATCATTCTGAAAACATTTCCGAATTGAAAAGAACAAAAATGTGCTTTAAAACAAGATAAGACGCAACTCGGACTTGCGTGGTATGATTACAAAGCATGATACAATGATTTACCCCATTTTCTACTCTGAGATATCTCCTCGCCACAACATCTGGAAGCACTAGTCCATCTACTCTGTTCGTTTGGAAGTGATAGGCCACAAATAAGAGACATGAGCAGCGACTTATGTGTTTCTCCGCCAAATGTTCGTTCTTCTCCAAGCCATGCTATTTACTAATGAACTTTCGCGGGTGGATTACACCGAATAAACATTATAAAGTACAAACTCGCATGTACTCATGGTCGTCTCCCGACTTCACATATACTAATTGCAGCCATAAGAACCCCCTTTCGTCAGTAAATGGCGGGATGCAGTCTTCGGCTGTAGCCTGGCCAGCTGTCGCCTTCCACGTGCCTTCGCTCAATTCAATTCCTATAAGGTCCAACTCTACAGGGACACACTCGCCTTGTAGCAGCAGACATACTTTCTTGAGTATGTGGTTGATGATACGTGGCAGGATCTTCAAGGTCGCAGATGGAAGCATACCAAGCAAAGTGAGCGGCTAACGCGCATCAACCATGGCTCCAAGAATAACAGTGGAGGATCGATTTTAGGTGTTGTAATTGTAAGCTGCACCTGCGTCATAATCACCAATAGTCTTGCCGATTTATTGGGTGACATCTAGGTGAGGAAGCGACAATTAGACTTTGTTCCAGGCAGATAAAAAAGGGAGTGAGGTTTCTAGTTCTCTCCTCTACTCCTATTGCGGCATAGATAGATAATATTGGTGTGGAGACAGCTAGGCTAAAGACATCTAGCTAGCAAACTGTTTTGCAGACTGGGCATGGGAAGTCAGATGGGCCAGATTTTGTTGACATGTCAGCTATCACAACCCAAAGGCAGACCAGAGCCGGCATGGGTTTCGCCAGTTGCTGCAACCCTAGACGGTCCTTGGCAGCCTCAAACATGTCACTCCCGGCATGGCGGGCCGCTCCATAGGTTGCTCACTTGGCACCAGGCCTGAACCCTACCAATCCCTCTTTGATTAGTAAAGTACTACATTTTTACATGACCACGACGCTCCATTCCGATATAATAACCTTATAAATCTTAAGTCAACGTGATTCGTTGTCTTGGAATGGATTTGTATGAGCTACCTGCGCTAATCCGCCTGTATAGAGGCCATATAGCCGAAATTGTATGTATTTCGTCTAATATCTCTGTACAGTGTCCTCAAATAGACAGAGCTTCAAACAGCAACCACCTCAACCGTTTCGTAGCATGCCCAACGGAAGAGACAAAACACACACTGTTTTTGTTTCTGTAACCTTGATCGATCTCATATCAGATGAAGATAGACGAAATTCCGCGTCTAAAAAGAATCATTTGAGTAGTGTTGCAGAGTGTTTAGACTTGAGCTGGGCCTGCAGACCCACCAACCCGTCCTTTCCTTCGCACCATATGTCCTACCAGTATTTATTACATGCTATATCCTGAGGTGGGAATGCTGCCCTTTCCCTTTCCTTTACTATTCTTGGGCTTCTTGGCGACAATCTTGGTAGGAAGCTTGATGGCAGATGGCTTGGTCGTCGAAGCAGGTGCAGAACCGATACCGGAGGGGTGGGAACCAGGAGCAGGAGACTTTCCGGAAGCAAGCGCTTTGAAATACCCCTCAGCAGCATCCTTGGTCGATTTGATAGGTCCGCAGCTCTTAGCAGCAGAAGTATCACTGGCATGAACAGCGCAAGCAGTGTGGAAGAGCCACGGATCCTCCTGCGATACCTCATGACCTTTCTGGAAGCCGGCTAGACTAAAATAAGATCCAGCGTCAGCCTTTCCGGAGTATTCCTCCTGATTGTAATTCTTGTTATAAACTTCCGGGTCCTTGAAGGAGATTGTCTTTCCCGTCTTTTTGTTCTTAGTCTTAAAGAACTTATTAAAGCTATTAACTTGTTCTTACTTAATACCCTTAATAGTAGCAAGCTCTTCCTTCTAAGGATATTTCTTATACTTAAGTAAAGTAAAGTAGAGTTTAGTATTACTATTACTACTATAATATAAAATAATATAATGTAGTTAATAAGTATATAATACAAATAAGTATATAATGCACTTTTCCCTTTTATATCTAACTTTTTATCTAATTTAATAATTCTTAATAGCTAAAAATGCTATAACCTTTAGATAAAGCTAGAACTTTCCTTATACTTTAAGCCCTTTAAAATAATTTAAAACTTAGTAATTAATATATTATAAAGAACTATAAGATCTCTAAGCCTAGGCTATATTATTATAAAAATAGTATTTAATTATAATATAATTTTATT